ATTCCAAGCACAAAGGAGTATTTCGATTGTTGTGAACGAATGTTACGACGCTGAAACTGCACTTCCACCTGTGCAAACCATATACGAGGGTTTACTCTACTGAATGGAGGTACATTTATTACGTTTAAAGCGTGTAACTCTGTTCGGTCGTTGTCCTGGCTGATGTCTTCAGACTCGGATGAAAACATTACAAATATACAAAAAATAATCACTACCAAGAGAAAAATCAGCGCCGTAATGTTTATAAGTGAACTCAAAATTACAGTTCCAAACAGAAATATAAGGGCTCACCAGATTTGTGGTGGACCTCAGCAAAAGAGCTTAGTTGAAATATAACAATTCGCAACGTTACCAACAATATACCAAAAGAATTAACACTATGAACCTAAGCGTGTGTCTATGATCAACGCAAAAGGTAACAAATTACAGTTAAATTATAAAAAGGTATATTGAGCAACAAAATGGTAACAGTGTTATGAAATGAATGTTACTTGTAAGCTGCTTTCTGAGATAACAACCACAAATAAGTTCACTTGGTTAACGAAGATTCCTCTGCACGTGATGGCACCAACAGCAAAATGGAGAAGATTAGATCCAGTAGTATTATTCAGTAATGACCCGGGCCAAAACACCAACGTAGTGTGGAATGGTCTAAAAAGATGTTATAATACTATTATAATCTTCAATCAAAGGCCGTGGCCGTTAAAGCAGAAGAATAGACGGCGGATACAACGCTTATATTTTAAGAAGCGCGGTAGTGAAGAAGTGTTATATATAACCAAACAAAAGTATTCGTTTCTTTACCATTGATACAGAAAAACAATAAATATCGAATATGAGTGTGATTACATAAAAAGTGTGACAACTAGGAAAAATATGTGACCTTTAATTTGTTGTTACAAAAAATCACTAGACATAAATGTCACTATAAGCGCTACCAATTGTACAGAACACAAACCACAGCCTCATTTTTGCGACACGCTATACGGATTAAAACGCTGTAGCTGCCATCAGAATGAAGAAACCTGAGCTATGTGTACAGAAGAAATATCTCCAACCCCTACTTCTCCCTTGGCCAACCACAAGGCCAATTAATGAACAATCATCTTAGCTATTGTATGACCTAATTTGACCATGTACTTACGACCTTTCGTAGTCAAATGTAATTGTCTCTCTTATCTTTATTCACAAATCTTTGTATTTTATTATTATTATTATTATTATTATCGGTTAAATATCATTATTAATCCCCCCTATACATGATTCATTCACATCGCATTGATCCCTCCTTATTGCGTCTCTCTAATTTTTCACACATTTAGTCTTCCACTTGATCGAATTGTAATTTCACTATCATATCTCTCTCACCCTATCTGACCCATATTTATATTCTGATCACAGATCTTAAATTTTAACTTTACGTATATACAGATTCAAGTTAACATTCTATATGAGTCATATCAACATTAACAATTTTATTCTATTTGATTTGACATTCCTAAATTTACATGCTTTTAACGATGTACTGTTTCAGTAATAATGAATTTGGTACGTACTGCTTCTTGCCATCGATTGAAACGGTCTACGCAGGTTAAAAGATAAGAGTATCCACCGAATCCAGACGTACGTGGTCGAAACGAGCCCAAGGGTCATTTGAAACAGCCTACGGGATATTTGTTGTGTCTGATCACCTTAAAGTTCTGGCATTATATACTGGAACGTGCCCGTTCCTGCACGTCTTTGTTCATAGCAAGCCAGCAAAATCATTCTGCTAGAAGCCTGGTTTTTGCACGAGCACCTGCATGAGAAAGTTTGTACAACGTATTGAAGATAAAGTTTCGGTACGATTGGACGATCCCCACCTGTAGATGTGTCACATAGTAAGGTTTCCTGACCTGTTCCCATCTATTTAATGAACAGTTTGAGAGTTGTTGACGATAACTGGTGCTGAGGTTCGGCGTCCTCTTTTTGAAGCTGAGTGAGTTTACGGAGGTCGATCCCTTGGAAACTGTTCAAGGAAGTTATACGAGACAGGGCGTCTGCAGCTACATTGTTTTCTCCGGAAGTGTGTTATATATCTGAAACAAACTGCGAAATGTAGTCCAGTTGTCGAGACTCTCGATGTGAGTAGTTGTCTGAAGATGAGCTTAAGGAGAAAGTAATGGGTTTATGATCAGTGAAAAGGGTGAATTATCGGTCTTCGATAGAGTGTTGAAAATGTCGTACGGCACAATACATAGCTAGGATTTCCCTACCGAAAGAGCAGTACCTCGATTCAATATCTAGCGACCGTCTCGAGAAAAATCCTAACGGTTGCCAGGAGTGGTTAACCCATAGTTGTAAGACTCCTCCGATTGCTGATTCGGATACGTCTACTGCGATACTAATGGGCGCTTGAGTGTCTTCATGTGTCAGCGTGGTTGTCTTTGCGATACGTTTCATAATTGTGAAGAATGCTTTTCGCACGGTGTCGTCCAGATTATTGGATTTCGCATCTCCACGGTGTTGGTCGGTTGGCCATGCGCATCAATAATATGTTTGAGGAAATCTAGGGAAACAGTGTCTACTTGACATTTCTGAATGTTTACAGTAATGCCATGCTTTCGCAGTCGTTCGAACACAAGGTCCGGATGCTGGAGATGAGATTTTGTGCCCGAACTTATGACCAGGCAGTCATCAAAGTTAGAATTCAAGACTTCGGAAAACGTCAACGAACCTTTGAAAGGTTTGGGCAGCATTTCTCAGGCCGAAAGGCATTCGCGAAAATTCGTAGAGTCCAAGGGGAATGATGATAGCGGTTTCTGAAATATCGTCAGTAGCCATAGGGATCTGATTATAGGCTTCAATCAAGTCGATTTTCAAAAAGACAGTTGAACCTTTCATGGTAGCTGTCAAATCGTGATTGTGAGGCGACAGGTAACGATCAAATGGGTTTTGCATTCAAACGCCGATAGTCACCAGCTGCACGCCAGTCGTTGGTATGCTTTTTAGGGGCCATGCGCAAAGAAGATGCCCATGGGCTATTTGACAGTCGAATGATCCCTGACTCTGTCATATGGTCAAATTCGTTTTTAGCCAACCTCAGCTTTTCGGAAGCCAATCGGCGTGCTTGTGTGAATACAGGTGGTCCTGTAGTCGTGATGTGTAACATTGCTGGTTACACACAACTATTTCGGTTGCGGCTAGTATATCCCAGAGTACTTATGGAGTAATGGTTGATCTAATGGGTCTATGGTGTGCCTAATTGTGACTGGAGATAGTTCGCACCCCGAAAAAAGTTACTCAAACAGGTAACTTAGTGTTTCCGTCTACTAGCTCCGTCCGCGCGTATTAATAAGTACGTTATGATGTTGTAACAGGTCTGTACCAATGATTGGCATAGAAACATTTGCACGACGAAGATCCAGTGAATGGGTTCGCGTTAACCCACGTTAAGGTAAATGTAACTTTTACCATATGTGGTCAATAGCTTTCCATTTGCCGCCTGTAAGTTTAAAACAGATTCGTGAAGCAGATCGTTAGAAAATGCGGGAAGAACGCTAACTTCTGCACCAGTATCAACGAGGTGGCGACCTTTCGTGATCACATCTGTGATGTATAACAGACGCAAATGTTTGCCGACTACCGTTGCCTTGAACAGCTGCCGGCTTCAAAGTTTCCCGAATTGTTTTTCGTGTCGGTCGACTTGGAGTTCGGGTAATTGCAAAGTTTTCTGCAATTTCTGGAAGGCTTTCCATACTCGTTATGATACCAGCCCCAGTCGAGGTTATCCGTCTCTCGTCGTCTGGAGACAGATCGCCTACGTAAGGGGCTTCTTCACAGAGTATGTGATTGTTCACGGTCATTACGAAATCTAAGATAACGTGTAAGTGTATGACATAGCTGCGTAATGTCACTCTGGGTCGTTTGAGGTTTTTCTTTGATTGAAAAAACTAGGCGTTAGAGGACTTCGTGATCTCGAGGATGCAATCAGCAGATACAGCCAGCTCGTCTACGGCGTTGTTTTGGAACGAGACGAGAACTGTTTGCACCTGCTTGAGGAATTTCAGATGAGAACAGTTGTTTGAATAGACTATTATCAAAAGTTCTTTGGCCAATAACTTCTCTCATCTTTAGCAACATGTCTGTAGCGGGATCATGTTGTAGGTTGATGTTATTGAGTAGTTGGTCTGACCTTTGTCGATCGGTTAGCTCTCCGCGTCTCGGAATCGATCATTTTAGCGTTTCGTAAAGTTCAGAAACATCACTAGTAAACATACTAGGTGTTACGTACCTGTTGAAATCGCGTGGTAGTGCCTTAACAACCGCGAGGAACTGTGCGCATGAATCAGTGATGCTGTGCTCGCAGAAGTCCGCTTCTGCGTAGCATAACCAGACTTCCATATTGTCTGGCCAAAAAGACATCAATTGAAACGTGGATGGTGCAAGAGTCTTCATCTTAAGGAGTCTGATCTGTCATGGAGAATTTAAAGTATAGAAATGAACGAGGAAAAATTTATCCCAAAATACGAAAAATACATCACAATATATAAAAAAAATAAAGCAATGCAATGATTTATGAAGTTCCAAAAAGGAACAGACTCACAGTTCATTGGTCTATGTGCCAGAGCACGTCGGTATCACCTCTGAAGATACCACATATATTGTAGTTTGACAACACCTTAATAGTAACACCTTCTATAAATGAATCGCGCTCACCCTGTGAAATCAAAGTCAGAAGCGAGGAGGTTGGAAGATATATTTAATGGGTTATCAATATAACGATAAGTGACTGATCTAATCTGGCTAATGATCGCAGGAGATGTTGCGCATGCCGTTCTGAAACGTGATCCAGTGCGGATGCATGACCGAGCGCTTTCAGCTAAATGAGTCCATAAAAACTCATGTGGTCATCATCCAATGTCGAGCAATTACAGAGATATTGATTTTCGGGGTTTGTTTGCCGCCAAAAATTTCTAATGACTTATATACTACTTCACACTAGGGGCAGTCAAAGTTTAATATCAGTTTCCCCATATCTAGGTAGGAGCTGAAAACAATACCCTAGGGTGTCACATAGGTACTTAAAATTTACGGTCATCACTTGTAGGAGGGACGTCTAATTTCAGGGTCGCTTTACTAGGATTACTGTAATCAAATTTTACATACTGACTTTTTGCTTGTTGAAAAAACAGATTTAAGGCATGTGACTTCAGTGTTACACCTGGTAGGATTTTTGTTGGCTTGCTGGCACCCTGAGTGTCCAGTCCTCCCACTCCTCCATCCCAGTTAGAACTCCGAAAATTCGTTTTTCGTTCTCTGAAAGACGTTGGTTCCAAGCGATAATCTGAAAGTCTCATTCTTACCGACCTCTTCAGCTGTGAGAAACTTAGCACGACCAAACATTCAAGGCTGTCTCTCATGTAGTTTGGAAACAGAGTCAATGTGAACTAAGGTGTTTTCCCGAAACTAAGTGCTTGCTAGCTTTCCTGGAATGAGATGGAAATACAAGTTCCAGTTGACGTAGTAATAATATTAGGTGACCTGAATACGGAGAGCTAATTGGACCCTTCATCCTCATGGCTCAAAATCGATCACAATGGCTCAGATGTATGCACTCTTTATCTTCCCTTAAACATTGATGTTAAAATTGCCTCATATTTGTCTTCTTTTTTCCTAAACTATATCCTTATATACAACCTTTCTTTTATATATTACCACCACTAAATTAACTACTATGAATTCAGTGTTTATCTTGTTGTGATAACGAGGTATGTGCCTGGTCCTACGTTGTAGCTGACTGATTGACTGACCTTCTTCCTCACTAACCCTCGGTACCATATACATACATACATTAGCTACTCCGCTGTACCGCATATTCTGTCTTTTGTTGTAAGTAGCCTTTAGAGAAGCTGTAAACGACCTTGCAGCTTTCTACTCTGTTTACTAGCTAGTGAATACATATACCTTTACAATCTTTTGCAAATAATGTATTGGGAAGTAAATGCGTATGGTTATTTTACATAGTTCACAAGTTGTCCGAGGTCTTCATGTTTGGCATTCACTTGGTACACGCTTCAACATATATTTCTATGTATTCATCGCGCCAGGTCTTTAGAAAAGGAAATAAAACTATGCCCGATGTCCACAGATAATTTTGTCATTGGGTGTTATGCAATAGTATCAGGATTGTTGTGTTCATAGAGATATGTTTTTATACAATATAAAACGAGTTAAATTTATCGGTAAACTTATACTTGTTAGTTTATGATACACTATGACGTAATCATTCGTACAACTAACAAGTATTTTCATCCTATTTACACTTGAAAACCGTTATGACGGGATAAAAAGGTGGTATTACTTCATTTCGCTATTTTTCGTATCAATTCATTATGAAATTTGTCCAATGTGACTATTCTATTCGCTGTATTGATTCAATATGAGCTACATATGTTTTTGTAGTAACTGTATATTCTTATATATACTATTTATTAGCTGATCATTGTGTGTGTAAAATCAATATATGAATCAGTGTATTTTGGGCTTAAGGACAATATATTTTGGAGATGTGTTTTTGGATTGTCGATAAGTCTTAGTTTGTATCAGTCTTCCATGTTGTCACTGCGTTGTGGAAGTTTCAGTGTTTCCCATTTCCAAATATAAACAGTTAGGACGACAGTAACAATAACTTAATGTTATTCACTTTTATTACCTTTATCATGTTTTTCTGTTACGCCATTCATTTATTACATTGTGGTCAATAGTTGGGCTTGTATTATTAATTTGATGTTAACATTTCAATGTCAATCTACATATTAACTTTTCTTTCCTGATAGGCATTTCATAACCAGGTGACTTGGTTGACTTTCAAAAAGCCTTGATTAAGTAGCTAAATAATGCTTGGTTACAAACAAGAAATGCCTCCTCCCGGAGGTTTCGCCCCAATCGATGTCTCCAGAAAGATGCCAAAAGGCTATGTACACGGTATGTCATTTTTGATGTACTCATATTTATTACTTTTACCTGATTTTTCCCACAACTAACAGATTTGTCTAGCATGTGATATATATATATATATATATATATATATATATATATATATATACTTTCACAACAGGAAAGTGAAATTGTGAATAATGTATCGGAGAAAACACAGTATATTCCACTTCTACTGGTTTGCCTACACCTTTACTGTTATCCTATGTGCTTCTTTACACCAAAATTAGCATTTCATATGTTCATTCTGATTGTTAACACTTGTCATATATATCTGGTGCCATCTTGTACCAATATTTGTGTTCAAATTAATTAATTAATTAGTTAACAATTGTCAACTGTCTCTAGCTTTGAGTTCCAGATCAACTAGCTCATTGACTTTTGTTGTGTCTCCACAAACTCTTTTTTTTCGGTGGATGTATTAGAGAAGCCAATATCACTGGTCGACTGTCCTGTACGAAGAGAAAAGTTTAATCCAGCGTTGAGTCAACTAACTCTTAAACTATTTTTTGGGCTTCTCCGGCGTCACCAGGCTTATTTTCTTTGGAATGAAAATGCTTAGTGCAACAGAACACGAAGAAAGTACAATATGAAGTAAAATGACAATATTTTAACGGGATCATAGAGGAAAATTATAAGTTAAGAGTAAACGAAAATGATAAATATTGCTAAAGAATATAATCACGGCAGGTGTTTTTCATTTAGAAGTTACGTCTTACTGTTGACCTGAATTACTGTTTAAAACATCCATCTTGACCGTCACTACCTTTCAATCTAGAATGCGATTGATAATGTCTGAAGTTGCCAAGTTGTTTGATATTTTAGTCGTCATGTCAAAAGTTTCAAGAAATTCATAAGTGCCGATCTAGAGCATATACTTATAATTTTATTTATTTATTTATTCAAACACAAATATTAGTACAAGGAGGCACCAAATTTATATGCGCCACACAAAACAATGAGAATAGGAAGAGAAAAGGGGTAAGATGCATATGTAAAAAAATAGGAGTGATGATGAGGGAAACTGAAATGTACACCCAGAAGATCTCTTTCAGTTAAGAAAGTTATGACCACTCTTTATGAAGAAAATAAAAGAAGGTTACAGTGGAATCGCCATTGGCTTCTATTCGGAGCCATATCTGATAACGTCTCTAGCCACTGTGTTGCACCATTTCCTGGACCCCAGTCAGGGGATCGTGAAGGACCAACAGAAGCCAGCCCTTTGCAGCTTTCTTTCATATCACGACACCATGTTATGCACTGACCACCCCTCCGCTTTTTCCAACCAGTCCAAGCGTCGGCAAGTAATGCACGACGTGGGATTCTCTGGGACGACATTCGTAAAACATGTCCAAGCCACCGACGTCGGTGTTTCAAGATGGTGACACCAATTGAATTATCGTCTCTGTGCCCGAACGCACGATGCCGAACCTCTGCATTACTAACATGGTGTTGTCACTGGATGTCAGAAATCCTCTGGAGACAACGATAATCGAACACAGAGAGTCGTCTAACATCCTTAAATCGGAGAGGCCAGGTTTCACAAGCATAGAGCAAAACTGCTCTCACCGACGCTCTGTAGACTCGACCTTTTACAGCCAGACTAACATCATGAAGGCGCCAAATATGGCCCAGATTGGCATAAGCCGCTCTGGCTTTCACTATACGTGCATCGATCTCATCACTCACTCCACCACCAGCACTTATGTCTGGTTATCACATACTTAGTGCAAGTTAAAATGTACTAATGTTGTTGATGTGTGTGCTAGAATGATAATGATTAGTTGTTTGCTTAGTCAGACTTGTAGATAGTCTGATAGGCATCAGATGAGTCATATATTCCCTTATCCTTATTATTGTCATTGATTGTTGCTGAATTGCATCGGTTTTTGGTGTGGAAATATATTTACGTTCTAGTTAGGCTAATCAAGTGTCCTTGATCTGAGTTGTGTTGAAGTCCTGTAGAGTAGACATTGTGAGGGAATCTAGTGTAGATATTCGTCTGAGGTAAATTAACGTCATATACGTGTATACAAAGAAACTTGAGCGTTTTAACAGTTCTTAAGCATGGATGCCTTTAGAATTCAGTATTTAATATTTCTTAGCTTAGTGGCTCATGATATCACTAGCCTATTCTTATTAAAGCTTTCACAAAACTTATAAGATCCCATTATGTTTTAATCATCCATAATAATAATTTGTAATTTCTTCTCATTAATTTAAAGCAACAATTAGTGGTCGCTATGACTAATTAGTATCATTAATTTTCCCAAATCTATTTCTTAAGTATTAACATTTAAAATAATTTGGATAATGTGTAAGATTTAAGACTTATAAACAATGTCTTATTTATCTTTGCTATTCCGTATATGAACCCTTTAATCTCATCCTAAGCATCATCGTCAAACCAAACTTTCAAGACTACAAGTCATATATGATAGATTTTATCAAAGTCCTGTCTAAATTCTACGAAGCTATCATATTTAACATCACTTTATGGCCATGGACTATCACACTATACTTTGTAATAATGAACATACTTGTCTAACAGAGTTTTATTTTTGAAGGACCTGACGAATGCAACTGCGTTAGGTGTGATCTTGACGACCTATAAAAATGACTAGATCGATCAAAAGACAACTGTTTCAGGCTAGTCCGAACGTCCTTCCTGAAAGTAGTTTCTGATTATTTAGCTCTGTACTTTCAAATATTACAGCCGGCGATGAGAATCTATAGGACAGGATGTAATGTGGTGTTCTTAGAATTAAACTTGTTTCATCTGCTCTTTTCATTATGGAAGGATATTATTGTTACAAATCCTGGTTATCTAAAGGGAACAATTCACTGTTGTTGTACTTCAGTAAGTTTGACGAAACGAGCTACAAGATGAAAGCCATTTCTTAGTCAAACACGCGCATTTATCATTTGGCCGATTTCTGACTGATCTAGTCTGTCAAATTACATATATATAATCCTTAATTTTGTATCACAATTATTTTAGTATGCTGTATAGTTCAGTGTTCCTAGTTGCTTCCTAATTCAACAAAGGAATACATATTCACATTATAAATCATTTTGGCTCATTTTAAACACCTTTTTTCATAATAAACCACTAAACCAACCTTTTTATGAATGCATTTCTATTACTACTAAGGTCTTATAACACTTGGTGCATTGTATACCTCAACATATGTGGGCCTTAAAGTTCTGAAATATATGAAAGGAAAACAAACTAAAATTAATAGAGAAGATCAAGAATGTCGGATTGCTCTTGCTCCTTTCATTATAGCTGAACAAGAGCGATTATACTTGAAACAATTACGAAGAAACCGCGAATACGAACAGAATTTAATGGGTGATGTTGCAGGCTGGAAAATTGGTCATTGGTTTGACTACCCGGTTTATCATAACCCTCGAGGTTTATGGTGTGATCCGGATATTAATGAGTTCTATGCTCATGTTGCTGATTGCGATAAAGATTTGAGGCGTAAAGTCCGATATAGTTACTCTTAAGTTGTGCTGGTGGCGAGTGGTTGGAAGCACTTCCTATTTTTAAAGGACTGATAATTTAAATTGTAGTTAAATATGTACTAGATCAAATACAAATTTACTGTTGAGACCATTGCTCTTTTTTCTTTTGCTTTATGAGTTTAATCGTAGTCTTAAATGTTAAACCATATATCCTAACCCGTAGATCCCAGTTTTGATATCATAAGTCACTCATTTATGTTGGCTATCTCCTGATTGGCCTAATGGATCATAACGGCTCCAAGGTCATCTAGAGCGTTGCTCAACGTTACCCTTATAGTTCAGTTATATTAGATAGCGTTAATCAGATCTTATTGATTTATATATCCATTACTCTATTAGTTCTTTAGATAAATACATAGATTTTATTGATAATTTTCTCCAATTATGAAACTAAAGCAGGAGTTTGATTTGATTGCTGTCCTTTCTACATACGATCTACGTGTATATATTACAGGTCATCGAAATTTCCGTACGGATGTGTCGATTTACATATTTTCTGGTTTATTATACACTGTATAAAGAAAGTTTGCATTGAACGCTGTGGCCTAATGTAATCAACTTCCAACTATTGGGTTATAGGTTTGAACCCCATCCCGGCTGATTCGGTTTGGACATTTGGGCACTATCACTAGACACCAGATTAGGAAATTTTGGTTCACAGATGATTATATTTATAGTACTCTTCAGAAATAGCTCCGCTATTATCCAAGAGAGGACAGCATATAGTGTAAAAATCTTGATAAACTTTACTAGGAGCCACAGATTCATTGGATGTACAAGTCTATTAAGAGCAATGTAGTAAACGTGACAGTTATGATTTGTAATTATTATTATCTTGTTGTCGACACATAAGTAGCAATACAAAAAGTGGAAATTGCTAGAAAAAGTCAAGAGAAATACGAAAATGGGTTATCTATCTGCTGGTGAGTTTTGGATTTATAAGTTGCATTCATTACAGTTTGATTTCAATCAATGTACCATTGAAAATCAGAGAGTGATGGACAGCTTTTCCATCCTAGTGTGAGACTACTCAGTAATGGGCACCTACGGCCTCGTAAGGTACTGAATTCCAATGATACCCTGAGTGAGGTCACTTTGTGACAAAGAAAAACCTACAAAACAAATTAATTTTTACAGAACCCTTTTAACTAAACTATAATAGCAAAATTAATTGTGGCTTCAAGATACTCCTGAAATTTTAGTGAAAAGTCGTGACTGATGGGTTCAGACATGTCGGAAGTGGGACAGATATCACCGATTAGATTGAGTAGTCGTCGCGTAGTATCTCAAATTAATTGAAGTTCATACTGTGCTATTAGACGCCTGCTTATTAATTGTGTTAAATCTTTTACCATTTATAAAGTTTATTTCGTTACAAATCCTATAAAATCAACATGTTATGTAGTGTATCTGTTGAGATTTATAAACTGAATGTCGTTATGACCTGGTAGCTCACTTGAGTTGAAAGTCCTAGTAGCAATAATATATGTTTGAACACTCTCTCTGGTGTGCATTATTGATAGGTTTTAGAAACCGGGGATCTACTCAATCTGTTGATCGTGTGACTACAACAATACTGATGGTCTTCTCACCAGGATTGTATCCTGATTCCGGATCATTTTGTTATCTTAATGAAAGTAATTTAACTGATTGAATCTTACCCTCATAAACTGCATCATTACAATGATGAGTCCTGAGCCTAGTTAGTGTTTTTTCAATGAAAAATGGTGACTTTGATATTCTGGTACAGTTCAAACGGATATAATGTTGCTACCAAACCTTATACACCAAATACTATTCTAAAAATACGAGGTAAGTGCTTAGTGAAAATGCTGGCGGGTTTACTGTGAGTTGATAGATTATTTACTGACCATGAATCTGTCTGCACAATACCATTTTATATATATATATATATATATATTTGGCTTGCAAAGTATAGCTTACTGCGCATTCTTAATCTCCTTATTTTGAATGACTGGTTGGCCAACCCACTGATGACTAAACCAGGACAATGAACTTAACAGACTTATAGTACTCAAGTATGTCATCGTACAAAATGGCTTGTCCTTATCTTTGTAATCGCTAATGATGGCGTTCTCTTATTAAAGTGTTGTGGTGGTCGATGTCCGAGATCTGAAACTAATACACAACCGGCTACGCGCTAACCCCTCAAATAGATTACTTGAGCGAAAAGACGAGTTTGAAAAATAGTCTATTAAACTACTGAATAGTATGAAATAAATGCTCATTTATATACATACATTTCTACCCCTTAGAAAAAGGAATCCATTTCCTTGCGAATGATATTCAGTTGTCCTTCCGGCTACTTCAGATTGTCAGCAAGTGACCTTCCCATTTGGCTACTTCTGATTGGCTAACTAAATAATCTCGGCCTTGATGCACAAACACTTTTTGTGAGGGGGGTCAATAGTATTGTCCATTCGCCAAAACCGATTTAATTTGACGGGGCTTGCATATACAACCAGATAATCAGAAGCCAATTATTCTGATCATTATTAATATCACTCAACTTCGATTCTCAAATGCAAAATCTAACCAGTCCCATCGTTTATTTATTTAAAGTGAAAAAGTACCGTATATATTTATCTTTACTTCAACTAGTAAATAAATTTAACTTTGTAAAGGAGTACATATCTCTCAGTTTTTAAGAGATTAATATAAATCGACAAAAGAAATAAATACATATTCACCAAACAAATCCTAAACGCTCGTTAGTATTATTAATTTTTTTATTTGTCAATTTTCCATTTAATGCAACATTGTTACACATTTCTTCATTGTAACATTGATCATTCGCACTTGTAGATTGATCACTGCTGTGTTGATCATCAATTGGATGATTCATATTAATAGTCACTAAACTTGGTTTTCCTGGTAGACCGGTGCCTAGACCAGTCATTGATCCTGTATGGGCTGCTTTTTCCAAAGGATAAACATTCCGACCATTTGCTTTACAGTGATTGATTACCTAGAATTTATGTTAGAAATTAAACAAATCAATAAAATACTAAGTGTTCTTGGTAGTCCGATTCAGTTATAATTGCATTCTGTACGGTATACTGAACCTATTACGCAGATGAGACGAATAGAGTAAGGAGTGAAGTTTAATTACTAAATCGAGGTATAATGTATACAAATCATGGGTTTGTATGCACGATTGTCCTTCCAATCCAGACAGGGGCATGTATACTTAGATATTGATTAGGTGGTTAAGAGACTTCCTCTAGTCGTGTGCCTTTTTTTTTTAAATTCACCACTTATCGTTTAACTTCAAGATGAAATGTGGACACAGGCACATGATATATCTTTATTCACCCAGCTTGTGAGATTGTTTAAAGTTTATTAATGTTTTATGATTACCATATTCAGCGTTAGCTTACTCATTAAGTGAACACAATAAGTAAAGAATTAATGGTTGAACTGTGAGCCCTGGTACGGCCGAGAGTGGGGAGAGTCCGCTCTCCCTCTCGAAATACTCTCACATGGCCACGCGTATATAGCCCCTGCCACGGAAGTCCTACTCACTGCCTTCTCGTGGCGGGGGTGTTGTTTACCAAATTGAGAGGACGGAAAGCGAATGTCCGGCGCTTTAACCAGGTTGGTGGGCACGGAAAGTCCACCTAGGGGAATTGGAAAACTGATTCCAAACCAATGGTCCACATGGGCTCCAGTATCCTGAAGGAACAAATGGCGTATGAACCTATTGTTGGTCACCGGCAACCATGGGACTGCATCTCCTCACGATGCTCCACTGCCTTGTGGGTTAGACCTTCAGGTCAAAGGCTCGGGATGTGGCCCCCTAAGAAAACCACCTGCTTCGGTTTGGGCACCCGGGCAGTATCGCAGCCCTCACGCAAATAAATGAAATGTGTGGCGCATATGTATCCGGTGCCCTTTGTACCAATATATGTGATTAAATAAATAATTTTCTGAATAGTCTTAGTATCAGTTGTCTGGGCCTTCACTATCTGTATTATTGACTACATTGTAAAGAGGTGTGCGAGGGGTTGTAGTGATGAAGATAACGTTTATCTTTTATTTACAAGGTATTCAGATAAAATACACTCGATAGACTAAATGAAGATTTTATCAGTCTAGTTACTAAGTCTATAAATTGCTACCAGATTGGTTGTCTAGTGGTTTGCTAGTTCATGGTTTTTATTAAAAAAGACTCCTAATTCACACATCATCACTTCACATCTACAATGGCGGATCTAAAATAAGTTGGCCATAAAATAATATGTTTACAGAAAAAGCTATCCTAAATTGACAAATTATAAATGCTTTCTAAAAATATTAAAATTTACCGGGTCAATTATATTTTAAGAAGAAGGAAAGTTTAAATTATTTGTTTGGGTTTGTAGGCTAATTGTAATCAGTACTTCGAAACTTGATATGAGAAGACTCAAAATTGGTCACAGTGATACCGACCTATTCACTCTTCATCTTCTCCTGTCTTCACTTCCCGCATTGTTCCATACTTCTTATTCAACGAGTTCATTTCTATTTTCCGAACCATATTCTTCGTATATGATCTCATATATTAATCACAGACATTACTAATACATTTATTCCACTTGTTATTAATTTTGTTAGCTTCTGTCATATGATTATATGAATTAAGAAGATTTAAGTCAGATCTTACGGTGTTTAAAACTAAATAACTAGAAGCTATTTACGTCATCAACGAAAAATAAGCTTAAAAAATGATCGAGAACTGGGAAGAATAGGAAAGCTATCTTTAGTTCTCAAAAATTTTTTCAGTGGTGAATAAAACTTAGTTACTTAAATGGTGGATTTGTTTATTTCATATTTTTATAAGTATATTTTGGAAACTAATATATCATTCATGTATCTTCCCGACCGTAGCTTATGTCTTGATATGATGGTCAGGCTTGATCACTGTGGTGGTCCAAATTGGTTGGAACACTCGCTCTTTGAAGTTTTATCATGCCACGATGATCGATTAGATGGTGATTATTTATTTATTATTTATTTATTTAAACACATATATATTGGTACAAAAGGGCACCAGGTACATATGCGCCACACAAAATAATGAAAGTAGGAAGAGAAGGGATGAAAAGATAAGGCGGGCTGAAATGTACAACCTGAAGACTCTTTCAGTTAGGAAAGTTAGAACCATTCTTTATGTAGAAAGTAAAAGAAGGTTGCAGCAGGATCGCCACTGGCTTCTATTCTGAGCCATATCTGATAACGTCTCTAGCCACTGTGTTGCACTGTCTCTCGAACCCCAACCAGGGAGTCGTGAAGGACCAACAAAAGCTAGCCCTTTGCAGCTCTCTTTCATGCCACGACACCATGTCATACACTGACCTCCTCTCCGCTTTCTCCAACCAGTCCCAGGGTCGGCAAATAATGCACGACGTGGAAGTCTCTGGGACGACATTCGTAAAACATGTCCAAGCCACCGAAGTCGGTGTTTCAAGATGGTGACACCAATTGGATTGTTGTCTCTGCGCCTGAACACACGATGCCGAACCTCTGCATTACTAACATGGTGTTGCCACTGGATGTCAGCAATCCTTCGGAGACAACGATGATCGAACACAGAGAGTCGTCTAACATCCTGAACTCGGAGAGGCCAGGTTTCACAAGCATAGAGCAAAACTGCTCTCACCGACGCGTTGTAGATCCGACCTTTTACAGCCAGACTAACATCACGAAGGCGCCAAAGATGGCCCAGATTGGCATAAGCCGCTCTGGCTTTCATTATACGTGCATCAATCTCATCACTCACGCCACCACCAGCACTTATATAGCTACCTAGATACACGAACTTCTCAACTACTTCGATCTCCTCACATCCAGGTTGAGTACAGGATGAGAATCCTGCCAGTCTTGTAGGAGTACTTTGCACTTGGAGGGTGCAAAGCACATACCGTACCTGCGGACACTGATTGCCAACTGATTAAGTGCTGATTGCATGCCTTGGGCATTATCGCACAGTAAGACAATATCATCCGCATACTCGAGGTCGAGAAGTCGTTCTCCAGGCAACATATCCACACCGCCATTACTTACATCCATCAGAGCTGTTTCCAGGATGTCGTCGATGGCAAAGTTGAAGAGGAATGGTGAGATCGGGCAACCCTGTCTAACCCCACTGCTCGAATGGAACAAGGGAGAAAGGTGGTTGTATGCCCTCACTCTGCTTGAAGTGTTTGTATACAGGGCCTTTAAGATGTTAATGAACTTCTCAGGCACACCCTTCTTCAATAGACAATCCCAGAGAACAGTCCTGTCCAACGAATCGAAGGCAGCCCTGATATCAAGAAACATTACGATCGTTTGCCTGCGATAAGTATGACGGTGTTCTAACATTTGGCGGAGGGTGAAGATGTGATCAATGCATCCTCGACCAGAACGAAAACCAGCCTGCTCCTCGCGAGTCAATCGTTCTCGGGTTTTAAACAACCTACGAAAAATGATAGAAGCCAATAGTTTGGACGCAATAGAAAGTAGACTTATCCCCCGATAGTTATTGCAGGAACAACGTGAACCCTTTTTAAAGATAGGGACGACTATTGACTCATTCCAAGATGTTGGAACACTTTCTTGCTCCCAAACCTTTCCAAACAACGCAGTCAGTTCCTTAGCCAGGAAGTCACCACCATCTTTAAAAATAGCCGGAGGTAAGTCATCTGGGCCAGGTGATTTATAACGTTTCAAGAGTTGGAGTTCCTTGAGGACTTCCGCCTCGTTTGGTGGATCAGTCGTCACCGGCCATGGGGGGCAGGACAATCTGTTTGATGTTGCCGGAGCAGCAGGCCAGTTGAACTGCCCTTCGAAAAATTCCGCCCATCGTCCAAGACGTCGACAGATGTTAGTGATTGGCATCCCGTCATCCTCGTAGATTGTTTCACTCACACCAGACTTCTTGCTCCCAGTGGCTCGGATGAGTTGGAAGAGCTTCCGGCAGTTACCAGATGCAGCTGCTGCTTCCATCTCATTAGCACGCTCCGACCACCAGGCTTCCCGGTCCTTACGCAAGCTTTGCCCGATTTCATTACGTAGCAGCCATCGTTTGTGGTCAAACTCACGGTCACCCGGAGTAGACCGATGTGCTTCCATCAGTTGTAAGGAGCCAGAAGAAACCCAGTGCTTGTAAGCGGGACGTTTCGCGAAGCCGCAAGCGGCTTTACTCGCCATTTTCATGGCGTCGTGAAGAAGCAACCAATGCTCATCTATACTTTTCGGTGGGGTGGTAGCTAGCCTAGAGGCTAGCTCCGCTCGATACTTACTTGCAACAGAAGTTGCAGCCAGTTTACTAACATCGATCCGTTGGTGGTGGTCAATCCTTCGACCACTGAAAAGTAAGGTGAGATTGGCGCAGACCAGGGCATGATCAGACTCCAGATAGGTACTCCAAAAGGAGCGGCAGTCTTGTATACAACCACGCCAGCGGTAGCTGATCGCGATGTGATCAATCTGAGTCCAGGCTTGGGATGCAGAGGGAGGACGCCAGGTGGCACACCGGCGATGACTGTGCCGGAAGTTAGTGCTGGCCAGAAACAGGTTGTGGTCTGTGCACAGTTGCAGTAGACGGTCCCCGTTATCTGTCCGGCGACCAACAAGTCCCCATTGGCCACCTAGACGACTCTCTTCTGTGCCTAGACGCCCGACCTGTGCATTCAAGTCTCCGGCTAGTACTACAATATCTGTCGAACGCGCTTTCTGGAGAAGATTTGTCAACTGTCATCCTTGATTGCATACGGGCTGCAATCTGTCGGGGCATAGGCGGAGATGACGAAAACATATCGTTTCTCACGCCGATTCCTTCTCACTTTGGTGGAACTTTCTAATCTAACAGCTACCTCAGCTCTAGCGCTTAGTGCAACACCAACGCCAGCAAGACCAGACGAAGATGCCACAGGGTCCCCGGATAAGCGCACGTGGAACAAGCTCTTCGAGGCGACAGATGGAGAGCGGATTTGTAGTACTTCACTAGAGTCTTGAATACGGGTCTCGGATAGACAACAAACATCAACATTAAGACCTTCCAAAGACATAGCCAGCCCTATCTGTTGTCTGATATGCATTAGTGTGCGAACGTTGAAGGAAGCCAGCTTGAACGGCGTACGTGGTTTCAGAAAGACTGCTTCAGTATTCATTATCGGTGGAAGCATTCACTTTCAACCAGACAGTGACTGGAGATCGTTTAGATAGGACAGATTTTCCACCATGGGCGAGCTGCTGCATAAGTTGAAAAGTAAGGTTACACAAATTGGGGATAAAAGGGAGTGAGTTAGCGATATGGTAAATAATAATAATAATAATAATAATAAAGGTAATAATAATAATGTTAATTGTCTTGCTTTTAGTATGACCAGGGATATTATCGTCAATAGAGTTCATAATTTCATTTATTTGTGTGTGGGCTGTGATACTGCCCGGGTGCCCAAACCGATGCAGGTGGTTTTCATAGGGGGCCACACCCGGAGCCTTTGACCTGAATGTCTGATCCACAAGGCAGTGGAGCATCGTGAGGAGATGCAGTCACATGGTTGCCGTTGAGCAATGACAGGTTCTTCCGCCATTCGTTCCATCAGGATACTGGAGCCCATGTGGACCATTGGTTTGGAATCAGGGTTTTCCAACTCCCCTAGGTGGACCCTCCGTGTCCACCAATCCGGTTATAGCGCCGGACATTAGATGGTGATAAGAGTAAGGCAGAAAACACAATTTCCGTTGATAAAGTTTTACTGTTGAATTTACTGGAGTGTGATGGTGTGGTGTGTGGGCTACTTATATCGACATAAGTAGTATATATCGTGAGTAAGGAATAGAGTATCTGGCAGCAGAAAATTGAGAAGAGAAGAACAGAAATAGAAAGCGGTTGGTATGGAAATCCAGGAACAATGAAACCTGAGACAATGAACATTTTGCAAATAGAGTATCAGAGTTTGGTTTTTGTATTTTATCAAGGAACTTTGTAATTTGTGCTAAATCCATAATCGGTTGTCCTCACCTGTGTTCTCATTCACTACAGTGGTAGTAAAATGTTTCTCCTAGATAACCAGGATTCTTTCGACAGTGATGCCTTCTAACAATTTAAGGAGTGGGCTAGAAAATTTTGGGCCTAAAATTACTGCATTATACCTTGGGCTGCGGGTTTTCATCTCTGGACATATCTACAAATTACAGAGGTAACGCATCGAAAAATAATCCTAAAAAGGCGTGTGTGGTTGGTCTCATGCGGTTTCCCATAGGGCGGTATGGTTGCACTCTCAAGGTTGCTGAGATTACAAGTAGCTCAACTTCTTAACAGATTGTGAGTAATTTTTTTTTCATGATCTGGGCTACCGGATGCTGACAATCGTCCTCGTACCTCTAACTGCACACGAGATAGTATCTTGGGGGTAAAGACGTTTCAGGGTTTATGAACAGATGCTCATTTTTTCCTAACATCATGTGTAGGATTTAATTTGCCCTACAGATATTCTACTAGAACTGTCAACGCAATACTGGCGAACTCAGAGTCTATGTGAAAGCTATGGTCGTTCCAAGGACAACTTGGCTTTAAAATTAATCTCTTTCGACCAGCATTGTATGTCTTATAGAAATGAATAAAAATTATCAGTCACACTAATATAACAGGAATATAATGTCCTTCGATATTATTGGTTAGTTATGGACATAATTAACATTATGGTATATTAACTATTCGTGTAGGATATTTATCATTACAAACACTGTGGAATTATTCTCCAATAGACTTAGTTTCATATCCTACCGATTTGTTTTTCAGAGTTATTTACTAACGAATGATGCGGATTTTGCAGCGCACATTTTCAACTTCTCATGGGAAAGTTACTGATTTACTTACGACGTGACTCACGCAGTTGATATGCACTTCTTGACAGAGCTTCCGAAAACTCATTTTGGGGCCGGTCACATTCGAGTATATTGTTACTGTACGCTCGTTTTATCATGAGCAGAAAATAAGTTAATCAACATTTTCAAACGAGATGTATTAAATTAATTTTAAGTGATACTTGTTGCCTACACTCCCTAAATCAAATTTGTAGGTTGCGTCTTTTGTAAGTTAAAAAAGGCTATAACCAATTTTGAACGTTTCAGCATATTATTTGTGAGTCGCTGGACATTTTGTAATACTTTACCTTTAGTTAATTGAAAGTATATGATTGTTTCATTGACCGTCATAGTATATATTATGCTACGCATTTAACGGACTGATCTACACCCTATTTTGTATACTTTACCATAGGCATTGAGCCATAACACACTATTCTAGAAGATTTTTAACAATAATCATTGTCTGATGTACAGACATGTGGATATACACCCCCGGTTGTTTGTCTTCCCAGTATTCTTATTGGTTAAACTAACAAGGGTCTGCTTCTGTGTTCTTTCTAACAAACTTACTCTGGTTGCGTAATCTTGGAAAAAAATTTCTTCCAGTTGAATTAGTTTATTTCTATTGGCTATCGCTTCAATTTCTGCTTTGCGTTCTTCCTTGGCTTGTTCTCGTTTTACCACCTGTATTGCATTTCATAGTGAGTAAATATTAATAATCAATTAGTAAAGTTATTTTACTACTTACTTTGAAAATAAGTAGCCTGGATTATTATAAGCCTTGAAGTTTATTCCAAAACATTAAACCATTAAGTACTTTGAAAATTTCATTTTTATCAGCATTCTTGCTTTCTGAACTAAATATTCACGGAGATTCTCAGTAAAAAGGCGACTTGGTAATGAATTACTCAGACCGAGCGTTCAGCACAACGATTCATAACTGAGGTCGATATTAAACATTCAGAGTAAAAAGACATTTAAACCAGCAATAGAAGTGTTCACCATTAGGCAGAGAGAGATTATCTTTGGAAAAATAAGTTTAGTACACCTCACGATTGATTAGAAATCAGTATGAAGCTAAAAAATATGATAATCAACTTGAAAATAACGAACATTAGTAATTTGACAGGAATTGCACTCTACATACACATGTTACACCTGGTGGGACATCAGCCACTGACTAAGATTCGCTAACCAACCTTTTCCTGGTCTCTCCTTTCCTGTTGTTTCCAGTCGCTATCCATTCTTCTGATGTCTGCTTTTAAATCTCGGCTCACTGTGTTCTTTGGTCTTTCTCTTTGCAATCTGCCTTCAGGATTCCAAGTTGGCGCTTGCCTCGTGATGCAGTTCGGTGATTTCTGTAATGGATGTCCTATTCACTTCCAGTATCTTCCTAATTTCATCCTTATCTGGGAGCTGTTTTGTTCTTTCCCACAGTAGGCTGTTGCTGATGGTATCCGGCCAACGGACATTGATTATCTTGCGTTAATAATTGTTTATAAATACCTATACTTTTTTGATGGTGGTTGTAGTAGGTCTCTAAGTTTCAGCTCGTACAGTAGAACTGTCTTGATGTTCGTATTGAAGATGATGAATTTGACGTTGGCTGACGGTTGTTTTGAGTCCCATATGTTCTTCAACTATAGGAATGCGGCCCTTGTTTTGCTAACCCTTGCTTTTATGTCTGCATCACATCCTCCTTGTTCATTAGTGATGATGTTCAGGTACGTGAGATTCCATATCTGCCAGAGCTTCTCCATCACGTGTGATTGCGTTGATGCCCTCTGTGTTGTATTTTAAGATCTTACTTTTCCCCTTGTGTATGTTGAGGCCTACTGCTCCAGAGGCTGCTGCTACACTAAATACCTTCATCTGCATATTTTGCTCTGTATAGCATAGAAGAGCTAGGTCATCGTCTACTTGCATCCAAGCTGTCTATTGTATTTCATGTTTCCCATCAGGTGCGGAGGTTTTCATAATCCTGTAAGCCACCTGAAGAACGAGAAAGGGCGAGAGTAAACAGCCTTATCTGACTCTCGTGCTTACTTTTGTAGTGGTTAGCTTCCTAGATATCTGACTGTAATAAATAGAATCCCGTCAACTGCGTATTTAACGCAGACTAAATCTCATAGTAGACTTATGGATTTACTCGAGATTATTCAAAGTCCTGAACACCAGTTATAGAGATAGTTTATTGGTAAAGATTAGTAAATCCGCAAGGGTGCGGAAAGCCAGCACACAAGGAAACGAGTGTGGGAGTGTGTGAGTCGACAAATAATACAATAGTTGAATGGGTTTACTACACTTGAAAAGTGTTTTTCAGTTGTCCTCCATGCACAACTTTGCTTAGTAGTCCTTCCTATGAATTCCGTATGATGTTGACGATTTTTTCAGGTACACCATAGTGTCAGAGAAGGTTCCATAAGGTTTTTCTATCCATACTGTGAAATGCTTTCTCATAGTCAAGGCAATTGATGTACAATGACGAGTTCCACTTAATTGATTGTTTAACGATGATCCATGGTGTCGCAATTTGATCTGTTCACGGCCGATCCTTACGGAATCCAGTCTGTTGATTTCGAAGCTGGGGGTCTACTGAGTTTTCCATCCGGTCCAGCAGCACTCCATTGAAAACCTTTCCTGGTACTGACAGTAATATGATGCCTTTGTAGTTCTCACATTTGCTTAGATCTCCTTTCTTTGGTAAGTTGATGAGATATCCTTCCCAATCTGTCGGCACTTGTTCTTCCTCCTAAATCTTCCTGAATAGAGGATGAAGCATGTTTGCAGTTACTTGTATGTCTGAATTTAGTGCTTCAGCTGGTATATTGTCAGGTTCTGTTGCTTTCCCACTCTTGATTTCTTCGATCGTTGGTAGAGTGACAGCTATGGGAAGGTTTGTGTGTGCTGCTTCGATGTTCGGTGGATTCAGTGGAGCTGGTCTATTCAGCAGTTCCTCGAAGTATTCTATATACCTTTTCCTCTGTTCTTGAATCTCAGAGATTAGCTTGCCTTCTCTGTCCTTGACTGGTCTCTCTTGTTTACCATATTTCCCTGCCCGTTTCTTCGTTATTTCATATAGTTGTCTCATATTCCCTTCTCCTGCAGCTTTTTCCGCCGTCGTTGCTAGTTCTCCCATGTATTTCTGCTTGTTGCCTATAATGCTTTTCTTCACTTCCTTGTTTGCTTCTGCGTACTCTGCTTGCGCCTTGATTTTCTCTGCTCATGTTCGACTGTTATTAATTACTGTCTTCTTGTTCTTCCTTTCTTGAATCTTGTCCAGGGCTTCGATAGAGATCTATTCATTATGATGATGCTTCTTGCTACCCACAACCTCCTGACAATTTGAAGTTAGTGCTTCTTTGATCCCTTTCCAGTTGTCCTCCATCGTAGTTTCTTGTTCTTTCAGTAGATCCTGTAAAACATGGAACCTTTTGTTGAGAGTTATCTTGAATTCGTTGAGTTTGTTAGTATCTCGAAGGAAGGCTGTATTGAACCTTTGTAATGTTGTTTGTCCAGTTATCCAGTGTTTCCTTAGCTTCAGTCTCATGTTGGCCACAACCAGGTGATGATCTGAAGCTATGTCAGCTCCTCTCGTGGTTCTCACATCTTCCATTGATCTTCGGAATTTTTATTTGATACAAATATGATCTATCTGGTTCACTGTGGTGTGGTTCGGCGAGATCCATGTAGCTTTATGTATGTGTTTGTATGGGAATATTGTGCCGCCTATAACCAATTTGCTGAACGCACATAGATTTGCAAATCTCTCCCATTTTCATTTCTCTCTCCCAGTTCATGTCGTCTCATGATATCTTCATAGTCGGTGTTGCCCATTCCGACCTTTGTGTTTAGGTATCCCATCACGATGGTCAGGTCGTTTCCTGAGCGTTTCTCTTGGATAGACTGCAGCCTCTCATAAAATTGATCTTTATCGTCATCATTGTTATAATTGGTGGGTGTATAGCACTGGATAACATTTAGTGTGATTCCCTCCTTTGTTTTGAAGAGTATTGTAATGGTTCTGGATCCATGAGATTTTCATCCAATAAATGCTTTATATGCTTCTTTGGACTGTGTCAGTGCAACTCCCTGAGTGTGTGGAGCATTTTCTTCTTCGTGACCAGAGTACAGCATCATCTCTCCCGAATCCAATCTCTTTTGTCCGGCCTGAGTCCAATGGGTTTTAGTGATTCGGAGAACCGCCAAGTTATATCGCCTTATTTCCGTAACTATTTGACAGGTCCTCCCAATCTCCAAGATTGTCCGAACATTCATAGTACATATAATTATTGTTGCTCTGGTTGTTAGAAGGGGGATCGGCCTCGTGACTTGGGAAGAATATCTGCTTTCACCATCAGGCGTCGTTGGTTCTTCTAAATGAAGATTCTTCAACTCCCAGGACAGAGTTTGAATGGTTTAAATGATTTTTCCTGAATGGCGATTTTTAGCAAGGTTGTTTTCTACGAGATGAGGTTACTGACTCAATGCCCAACGCTCATCCTTTACTAGTGTTTGGGATCGACAGTAACGGTAGAAGTGCTTCAGGTAGAGTTGCAGGCAGGTATTGCATAATGATGCTCCATAATGTTACTGGTTTTGGGAATAAGTTTCTTTAGGTATTCCAAATTTTCCGGTTGATATTCGTAAGAAAATTGTAATTTTTGGTTGAAAATCTACTGTGATTATATGACTGGAAATTGGCTTCACTGGTACTGATTCACGTTGTATCTTCCATTAGATCGCAGTTTTCTGAACTATTTCATGTGTTTCGTTTTCAAAGTATATGCTCCTGGTTTACTATTTCCACCATCATTGGTGGAAATTATTATTATCACTTATAATTACTTACTTTACATCTCGTTCAGTTCTTGTCTTCACCTCTTAGTGAATAATACATTAGTCTTAGTGAAGTATATATACAACTCATTAATTTTATTGGTTAATGCAGTTTAATATATTTTTGTTGTAAATTGTATACGCGCGTCTAGTTAATCGATTACTTTAAATCAGTTGCCACCTAGCTCTCTCTCTCTCTCTCTCTATATATATATATATATATATATATATATATATATATATCTGTTGTGGTTTTATATTGCAAAGTAGTCAAGAAATTTCTGTGAGTGTCAGTTGTCTCTTAGGCATTTTGTAGTGTTCAACAATTCTTCTCCCACTTTGTCGGTGGCATATATCATTCCTGCTCTATAAAATAGTGTTGTCACCGATACTTTCTTGAAATTGACTAGAAAAAAACCATTAAAATTAAAGTAAATATCGTAACAAGTACTTTTTCGATGAATCGAACATTGAACTGTCCCGTCTGCTCTCCGTTGTATAACAGTGTCTAGAAGAGGAATATGCCTTTCTTTTTGTCAATCGCTTGTGTTGGGATGACCTTGCAATTTTCTCGCAAGCGACATGACAAGCTCGTGAGTTATCAAGGAGCATTTCAACCAATCAGCGATTAATTAGAAGTTATGTTACTAAAATAACGAGAATGAAAAGTCACATGTGGAGATCCTGATTGGCTGATTAGCACACTGCTACTATGTTTAGCAGTATTCTAGAATTTTCGGTAAAACTCAAGGTCTCTTAAATGACTATAAAATCCCTATATTTTCTGTACATAAATGAACCCTGTAGTAAAGTGCTTCCCACACACTTTGTGCCTTTTCTCTGGTCTTCAAGTCGTTGTATAGTTCTAGCTCGGGGGTCACGGAACTAGCTTAGGGAAGCGAATATAGCGTTCAACCGACGAGACGCAACAGCTTGTTCAAGCTCCGTGTTTCTAACCCTCTGATTTTCCTTTACTATCAATGTTATAGAATTTTCTTTCACATTAGATATTTATGTACGATATTTTCCTTCGTCTGTTGAATTCATTTATTATATTGCTATACTATACTGATATGTCAACCATCAGACGCGTTCCAGACAGGACGAATCGTCCGACTTGGATTTTATAGCTAGACACAATCGAACTAAACTAAAACTCATATTAACCATGTTTGAATGAAACACTGCTCTTTTATTCACATAGGATAGCACCAGAAATACATTGGATTTATATATTATCTAATCTTATATCTCTTGTGAACCCCCAAATGCCCTGGTACGGCCGAGAGTAGGGAGAGGCCACCCTCCCTCTCCAAATGCTCTCACATGGCCACGCATATACAGCCTCTGCCACGGTAGTCCTACTCATTGCCTTCTCGTGGCGGGGGTGTTGTTTACCAAATTGAGAGGACGGAAAGCGAATGTCCGGCGCTTTAACCGGGCGGGTGGACATGGCGAGTCCACCTAGGGGAATTGGAAAACCCTGATTCCAAACCAATGGTGCACATGGACTCCAGTATCCTGAAGGAGCAAATGGCGTATGAATCAATTGTTGGCCACCGGTTACCATGGGACTGCATCTCCTCACGATGCTCCACTGCCTTGTGGAGTAGACCCTTAGGTGAAGGACTCGGGTTGTGGTCCCCTAAGAAAACCACTTGCTTCGGTCTGGGATCCCAGACAGTATCACAGCTCACACACAAATAAACGGAATGAAGATTTCTACTGACAATACTACTCACGCTCCTACTAAAAGTCAGAAAATTTACAATATTATTATTTACCATGTCGCTTATTCACTTCCTTTTACTACCAATTTGTTTAACCATACTTTTCAACTTATGATGCAGCTCGCTCATGATGGAAACTCTGTTCTATCTAAACGATCTCCAGTCACTATTAAGTCGAAAGTGAATGCTTCCACTGAATACGAATACTGAACCAGTCCTTCTGAAACCAAGCAGAGCTGAGGGAGCCCTAATCGATTGGATCCCCATTAACAGTCGGTTATGTGCTGTTAGATTAGAAGGTTCCATCAAAGTGAGAAGAAATTGGCATGAGAAACGATTTCTTTTCGTCATCTCCGCCTATGCCCCGACAGATTGCAGCCCGTATGCAATCAAGGATGACAGTTGACAAATCTTCTCCAGAAAGCGCTTTCGACAGATATTGTAGTACTAGCCGGAGACTTGAATGCACAGATCGGGCGTCTAGGTGGCCGATGGGGACTTGTTGGTCGCAGGACAGATAACGGGGACCGTCTACTGCAACTATGTTCAGACCACAACCTGTTTCTGGCTAGCACTAACTTCCGGCACAGTCATCGCCGGTGTGCCACCTGGCGTCCTCCCTCTGCATCCCAAGCCTGGACTCAGATTGATCACATCGCGACCAGCTACCGCTGGCGTGGTTGTATACAAGACTGCCGTTCCTTTTGGAGTACATACCTGGAGTCTGATCATGCCCTGGTCTGCGCCAATCTTACCTTACTCTTCAGTGGCCAACGAATTGACCGTCATCAACAGATTGGTATCAGTAAATTGGTTGCAACTTCTGTTGCAAGCAAGTATCGAAAAGGCTAGCTACCATCCCACCGAAAAGTATAGATGAGCATTGGTTGCAAATGCATGACGTCATCGAAATGGCGAGTAAAGTCGCTTGCGGCTTCGCGAAACGTTCCGCCTATAAGCACTGGGTTTCTTCTGGCTCCTTAAAAGTGATCGAAGCCCGTCGGTCTACTCCGGGTGACCGTGAGTTTGACCACAAACGAAGGCTGTTACGCAACGAAATCGGGCAAAGCTTGCATGAGGACCGAGAAGCCTGGTCGTTGGAGCGTGTTAATGAGATGGAAGCAACAGCTGCATCTGGTAAGTGCCGGAAGCTCTTCCAACTCATCCGAGTCACCGGCAGCAAAAAGTCTGGTGTGAGTGAAACAATCTGTGAGGATGACGGGATGCCAATCACTAACATCTGTCGACGTCTTGGACAATGGGCGGAATTTTTCGAAGGGCAGTTCAACTGGCCTGCTGCTCCGGCAACATCAACCAGATTGTCCTGCCCCCTATGGCCGAAGACGACTGATAAACCAAACGAGGCGGAAGTTCGCAAGGAACTCCAACTCCTGTAACGCTACAAATCACCGGGCCCAGATGACTTACTTCCAGCTCCTTTTAAAGATGGTGGTAACTTTCCAACTAAGGAATTGACTGCGTTGTTTACAAAGATTTGGGAGCTACAGAGTGTTCCAATGTCATGAAATGAGTACTTCTACAGGACTTGCAGGATTCCAATCCTACCACCCTAGGTGGTGGGCAGATTGAAGTAGTTGAGAAGTTCGTGTATCTAGGTAGCTACATAAGTGCTAGTGGTGGAGTGAGTGATGAGATCGATTCACGCATAGTGAAAGCCAGAGCGGCTTATGCCAATCTGGGCCATATTTGGCGCCTTCATGATGTTAGTCTGGCTGTAAAAGGTCGAGTCTACAGAGCGTCGGTGAGAGCAGTTTTTCTCTATGCTTGTGAAACCTGGCCTCGTCGTCCCAGAGAATCCCATGTCGTGCATTACTTGCCGACGCTTGGACTGGTTGGAAAAAGCGGAGGGGTGGTCAGTGCATAACATGGTGTCGTGATATGAAAGAAAGCTGCAAAGGGCTGGCTTCTGTTGGTCCTTCACGATCCCCTGACTGGGGTCCAGGAAATGGTGCAACACAGTGGCTAGAGACGTTATCAGATATGGCTCCGAATAGAAGCCAATGGCGATTCCACTGTAACCTTCTTTTATTTTCTTCATAAAGAGTGGTCATAACTTTCTTAACTGAAAGAGATCTTCTGGGTGTACATTTCAGTTTCCCTCATCATCACTCTTATTTTTGTTCTTTATTCTTTTATTTTTCTTAATATATATATATATATATATATATATATATATATATATATGTTTAAATAAATTAATAAATTTCATAGTTCCAGATTTTGTGATCAAGCTTATAATCAATGAATATTTTTTATTCAACTTAAGTATAAATGTGAACCCAAGTGATACATAGTAATATAAGTACTTCGTTGTTGGACTTTCTAAAATTGCTTCCACTCATATTAATAAAACAGATACGATTCTATGAGGAAAATGAACCTTCAAATGGAACAATTGGTAATTATATTTCGGGAAAGGTACATTTTAACCTAATTAGTGCTCATCATGTGCATTTACCAACATCTTAGTGTTGGAGTTCACATTTTAGATACAGGCTATATCTATGTATTTTGTTAAGAAGCCTATATCCTAACAAAAGTTGATAAAATTCTGCAATGGAAGGAAAGTAAACAAATAAACTTCTGAATCTCGATGGAGTATTGGTGTTTTTTGTATACTATAGTGGGTGTCTGCAAGAAATGACTCTTACACATAACTCATATTTAACAAACAAACTTACTGATTCTTGCAGTAATTGTTGTGATAATTGCTTTCGTTCTTCCAGTTTCTTTGTTTTTAATGCATTTTCATATTCAGTTAGCGCTAATTCAGCTGCTATCCTTTTACGTATTTCACATAATTCTATTTGTTCCTCGTCTTCTAATTGTTTTCTACGTCTTTCTATTTCATTCACTCTATATTCCTTAAATTCTTGGATAATTTTTAGTTGTTTATCGTATTTCTTCTTTGTGTCCTGTTGGTATTTTTCCTCTTTTTCAGTTGTTGCTCTGTTTAAACGTACTTCTTCATTGGTGTGTGCATTTTTCAACTGTTCTGATAAATATTCTTGTATTTTTTGTAGTTCGGCTTCTTTTTGTCTGATATGTATGAAAACAGGCATTTACTGTGATTTTTTATGTAATGAGAAATATTTTGATTATTGATTTATTCTTCTAAATTGGATTATTGAATGAATAGACACTTTAATGTCAGTCTAAACATTATTATCACTATCAATTTGATAACTCCATAGCAATCTAAACTTTAAATGACTGACGCTTCTTTCTGATTATGTATATCATTAAAATCGGTCGTTTTATAAATATTAACAACACATGCGGACTTTCGACTCCCCTCAAAGACTGAACAAAAAGCTTTCAACCCTCTTGATGAGCTCGTTACTTAAATTATTATTGGTTAGAATCTAATGATCTATACTTCCAACCCAGTTGTAGTGCAAGAGCCTCAAACTAGGTCAAAACAGTTGTTCACTGATTCTTGATCATCAGTGGTTCCCCCAGTTTAATGTTAATAGATGATATTTCGACCCTTAACTACTTACTACTAACTATTTAATAGTATGATATATGTCACATAATTCTGGTAATCTTCATCTTCTTATTACACTATCGAAATTTATCAAAGGGACTAATTGCTTTAAATTTTTCAAAAGAAGACTCCCTGCCCATACTATTAAGAGGTTAGATGAACTTGTCAACCTTAAATGTAAAGTTGTATCGGAAAGAGATATCACATAGTTCTGATAATCTTCGTCTTCTTATTACACTATTTAATAGTAGCTACTTATAATGATTAAATAACAAGCATTCAGGTTAATGATAAATTTAGTGCAATTTGAAGTGTGTGAATTCACATACTGAAACATATCACGTTCCTTCATGATACGCATTTTTGTCATTTTGATCTTAGCTGCTGCAAACAATCGACATTGTTCTTCAATTTCCTTTTATTTTCGTTCAAATGTAATGTGAAAAACAAACACGAAATTGGAAATGAGAAACGATAGACAAAATATGGAAGATTTACTCTGTGATTATACATATGTTGAACCAGTCAATATAGACATGTGTGAAAGTGTTAGAGCCTACCACTAAGAATATCTTTCTTGGTAAATAAAAAAACAAATGATAGAGAAGATCTAAGTCTCGTACTAGGGTTTTACGTAGCTGCTTCGTTTGTATTATCAGATTATATTTTCAGCTCTAAAGAAACACATATTCTTCATTCCATGTAAATTTGAGGTAATAACGTGTTTTCATGAATATACCAGTAAACTCTATAACAAGAGACAATGGCTTATTATGTTTATTTTTAATAAGGGTGAGTTAGATTAGTGGTATATTGATAATACAAATGTGAAATACTTTTAACGTTGACCTTTTCGAATAATGAATATGGATGAACAGCTATTCATTTTCTTGGCTACTGGATAATACAAGAAAATAAACCTTGGTTCGAAGATCTATTGATAAGAAAAAAGTAGACGTATTCTATCAGAGTGTGGAAAGACATTCGGAATAGTTTAGAGAATAGGTTAAGATGTAATATATTAAAACAATGACAAGATAACAGAGAAATGTCCTTGACCTTGTTAAAGATGAGGAACTTTTAATAAAAAGAATCTTCCTGTAGGAAAATGTTAATTTCCAAAAACGTAAATGCGGAAATAGCAGATACCTTAACCAATTCATGACAGGAATTGAATTATCCCAAATTAAGTGAACCTAGTCCAAGTATCATGGAATGAACTAGCTTCTAGTCGATTTTAAATACCTACAACGAGTGTCCAGATCTCAGGGTCAGGAGTTTTGACGATCACCCCTAGGGTAGTTAATATTAACTGCACCAGCCGATAATATAATGTAACCATGCTCCATAGTTTAATACAAAAATAGAATAAAAAAAATTTTTATTTACAGTAAAGTTGTTTACAAACAAGCTTGTTAATTCAGGTTGAACTAGTCTATTACGCACCAGCTTATTTGATGGCGAATAAACTTCTGGAATAAGAGCGCAATTTCGTAACTTACAGTACAGAAATATTTTGTATAATTGCTTGTGAACTACACCTTTGGCAATTTATACTCCTGGACTCAAAATTTATAAATAGATTGTTTCTCTACACAGTTTAGTAATATGACCAATCAGTAAAGCTATGCACTTTTGATTCTGGTAACTTCAGAATTCAAAAACCTGCTCCATTACGGTTTACTAGAAACCAGTACTTTGAGGCACCAAGTAACATAAGTCAGCAGTGTTCACATTATCTCATATTTCTTCGTCTTCCTAAAACTATTTGACATACTGTCAATGATGACTCTTTTTATTTGGCATGCATTACATTGCTCTTGCAAATCACCTATGTTAATCACTATTTCTTTTTCACTATGAGAAGCTTGTCAATTAAACGAATGATAAAGCTTACGTGATAATAGAACTTTTTGCTGAATACGTGCTGATCAGAATATATCAAATAATATGATGCAGTCTCTAAACGAAGTAATGAAGCGTGATGATAGTTTTTTTCTACTGTTAGATATTCGGAAATGTTTAGAAATTAGAGTTAATTAATAAACAATGGTTGTCAACTAGTTTTCAATTTTTTAACGTATATAGACTCTACAGAGTCGTGCAAATCGATCAGTCAGCTAGTCATAAGCGACGTAGAAACTCGTGCACACATGTACACTAATGCACGTTGCCTCAGAATGTCAGTATATTGAGATAAAATTTTCAAGAGAGATATAGTGGCAGTAGAATTAGTTACACTGTCAATGGTAGCGGCCGTGTAGTAAACAAAAACTCAGATGGGAAAAACCAACTTATTGTTTAATGCAAAATCACACAGTGGCTTAGTAAAATATGAAAGTTATGCATTTAATACATCACTTGCACATCTTCTTTGCGTCGTCCTTTACATACTCTATTATTCCTCTAATTCTGTTGTTATTTCGTTTGCTCTCATATTTTCCCCTTTTCTCTTCATTGCGATCTTCTGCTCCCAGACATTCAACTTCCGATAGGTACTACATACTACTATTATCTGTTAGCGTAGGTAGCAGATACCACAGTTTTAGTGAAAAGCATTAGAGATAGATATAATTCATGCAAAACAAAGAATAGATTGATTAGATAAGAAGTGTAAGATGATTGGAAAACTTAAGATTAAAGGAAGGACGATGAGTGAATGCATCTACCCGGATTCCGAATGATGTCACTGAGTTCTTTTCAACCACTGATTAAGATAGTCATGCTGACACTAATCATGTTATTCTTCACCTAATACACGGCGTGGACCAATGGCTAGTGACCTCATGAACCGATTACATGTCTCGGTTTTGTCTACACCAGCTTGGAATCTACTACTACAAGAGATAAGGATTTTAATTTATTTAGTTGTGTAAATAAGTTCTATGTTTTAAATGAAATATACACCTTTTGGAGAAGTGTGGTCGTCTTATCCACGATTTACCAATTGAATGTATCTGAATCCTGACGTTGATACTATCACTACAATTAACAGTCATTACCAACTACCTTAGAGACTGGTTATGAACTACTTATCACTTTATATTTTTGATTTTCCAGTATGAACTATACCTAGATTATGAATTCATTAGTAATATATTCAAAAATTAAAGGAAAAGCAAAACAGTTGATCAATGAAAAATTCGCACTTCATCATATAATTTTTCAATCTCTTTCATTTGTATATGACCATTAATTTGATCTTGAAATTCTTTTGCAAGTTTTCTCATTTGATCATGACAGATTTGATCTAGTTTCTCGCGTTCTAATAAGTCAGTTGTTGCAATTTTCCTCAACACTTCGCCTTCGGTTAATATTTGTTCTTTATGACGTTTTTTCTGTTCATCATGTTCTTTTATTCTTGTGAATAAATGATCAACATTTACGAAATAGGGTTAATACGGGATGAAGACTGGATAATTATCATAGTTTAAATCACGAACTGATCTTAGCGAAACAACCATTGGGAACCAGAAAACAATGGACAGCCGTCTCAACCTGATACCGCGCACGTACGACCACACAGCTACGAATCGAACTCAGGACTTTCCTTCCTGAGATGTGACTCCTGGAGTTTACGAGGAAAAGTTATAACCAAAGGAATCCAACTGTGTCAAGAGTTAGACAACTACCCACCTTAGTGAATGAAAGATGATCTGTCTGGTTGGTATATCGTTAAGGAAAGAAAAGGAGCATTAGTTGGTAATTTAAAGTAGGACTCATCACCATTGTATTTCGACGAAGCGACTTAATCATATCATACTCGCCGGAAGATTTAAATGGTTTTGATTTCTACCACTGAAGAGGCTGTTCTTGATTAGACGAAGATCTTTTAGGCAGAACAAAATAGCTATAGTCAGTTCTTCCTGTATATAATATATATATTCTCTGAATTGTCGTCAGGTCATTCACTATTAAGCATTTTGCGAGAGGTTTAACTCATGTAGATGGTTATAATTTTCATATATCGTATTCAGCTTTTTATGAGTATTCATGAGATAGCATCTACTATATGTCTGCTCTACATTGTATCAAGTGTAGAGGTATTTATTGGCTACCAATAGACACTACATGTTTTGAATTTCATGTTCATTACTTGCTGACACTACCAATAAATGATTAATTTTTCAATCAAGAAAACACATGTAAACTTCATACAATAAATAGAATGCTTAGAAAGTACCTTCTATTGAGTGTTTGTAGTATTCTATAAATTATACTTGTATTAACTATTCAATGCCATCGATCGATTTCATTCCCCATCCTAAAAATAAACTATGTGTTCCATTTATTGATATCGTTACTAGTCGTAGCTGCGACTTGATGGTCGAGCTATTTTGTCTGGAACACCCTCTCCTTGAAGTTATATCATGTAACAATGGTCAGTTAGACAGTATTAAGATTCAAAATGACAGACGTGTCAGAGAGTAAAACCATATTATTGACTGTAAAGGATTGTAACGATAGTAAGGTTTCCTTCACAGATAACCAAAATTTACAACAATGATGCCTTCTCACAACAGAAGTCGGCTAAGAATGTTTGATCCTCAAATTTTCACAAAACTCCTTCGCCTATGGGATTCAATCCACAGTGGTAAGGCCTGGAAAGTAAGAAGCTGAAAAATCAGGAACTGTCCTTAAAAATGATTTCTGTAACGGGCCTCAAGCAGTTATCTGTCAGGTTGTCTTTGGTCCCTTAGGCCAGTGTTAATCCAGTCCTCTTCTTATGTAATTAAAGAAGGATCTCGTCACGGTGTGAGTAATGAGAGATTGACAACCAACAACAAGCCTCTAATAATAGTTGATATAATCCTGTTCACGATATTTTTTGTTTGGATTTTGAAATTGTTCTACCATTCTTTTATTTTATAACAATGTGCTGATGTAGGTGTTTGCTGTAATATCTTAAACAATGGGTATTTCCATGTCAGGACATATTTTGTTTGGAACTGGAAGAAAATGTCTTTTGAAATATAAGAGACAAACGCTGGTCAACTGTTACCGCTAAATCTATTTGAATTTCGTACCCCTATTTCCGACTTATGTGATTATTTTGGTGCATTATTATACTACTAACTAATATCCAGTAGCCAGATCGATAATAATGTATATATATATATATATATATATATATATGTAAACAGATAACATTTAGCAGATTTATAGTGTAACTGTATATTAGTAATATTAGTGGCCATTGATATTAATTGTATTATGCTCGTTAGACATTTGTCTTGTTGCAATACGTTTACATTTTGATACAATTTGTTCTCGTTTCAATGTTGTTTATTGGCATAATTTCGAAACACCTGCCAACGGTTATTTAGTTTATCGTATGGTACTGTAAATAACCATTACATGTCACCTTCAGGAAGTATCTTACTTTGATTGAACACTGACATGATAAAAAATGTAGATAGGTAAATTCATTTAGTATTGTTTGAATTTTCCCATCGATGTGTTAGGACTGCAACTGGTCAGTCTCTAATTGGCATATGTGCATACTGTGCGTTTCGCCTCGATATAGCCTTAATTCACAAGCACGGTAAGCAGGGGTGGATAGTGGCTAGCAGTGGAATCCAGCTTGACGTGCGTTTCGTCCTATTTGGGACTGACCAGTTGCAGTCCTAACAAATCGATGGGAAGATTCAAACAAACAATACTAAATGAATTTAAATTTCGCCTCATCGCACAAGCAAGTGGCTATCAGGACTCAGTGGCCGAGTGGATAACGCGCTGGCGTTTGAAGTGAGGATACTGGGTTCGAGTCCCAGAGCGAACATCAACTCTAAGACGCAGGTGCATCCAGCTGACGAGTCCCAAATAGGAAGAAACGCGCGTCAAACTGGATTCCACTGCTAGATACTATCCATCTTTGCTTACCAATGTAGGTAGGTTTGTAAACTCATTTCATATATTTTCGCAATAGCAGTAAAACAATGCAGAAAATTTTCGCATTTTCGATTGCTATATTTTACATATTACTTTATAGTGTAGTCAGAAGCTTCGACAAGAATGCCCTGGTACGGCCGAGAGCGGGGAGAGTCACCTCTCCCTCTCGAAATACTCTCATATGGCCAGAGGATATATAGCCTCTGTCAGGTAAGTCCTACTCACTGCCTTCTCGTGGCGGGGGTGTTGTTTACCAAATTGAGAGGACGGAAAGCGAATGTCCGGCGCTTTAACCGGGTTGGTGGACACGGAGGGTCCACCTAGGGGAGTTGGAAAACCCTGATTCCAAACCAATGGTGCACATGGGCTCCAGTATCCTGATGAAACGAATGGCGGACGAACCTGTCATTGGTCAACGGCTACCATGGGACTGCATCTCCTCACGATGCTCCACTGCCTTGTGGATCAGACATTCAGGTCAAAGGCTCCGGGTGTGGCCCCCTATGAAAACCACCTGCTTCAGTCCGGGCACCTGGGCAGTATCACAGCCCTCACACAAATCGAATGACATTTGTGAGGCGCATATTTATCTGGTGCTTCATTGTACCAATATTTATGTGTTTAAATAAATAAAATAAATAATATTAAATAATAGTAATAGTAATGAAAATTATTTACTGTGCCATTAATTCTTGAGCATTTAATAAATTTTTCTCACGTTTCCTTTCAGCTTCATTAAGTTCTTTCATTATAGCTAAGTAAAAAGTGAAAGCAGTTAGCGTTAGGAACTCGGTATTCAGATTCGCAATATCAAATTAGATTTGAGGGAATAAAAGATACTACTCAGAAATAAAAGGACGGTGTTACTATGGAGCTAATAAGCGAAAATATGTGATTCGGAAAGTTATTCTCTCAGGATTCAGTAAGTATATTTTTCAGAATGAGGAAGTTTGTGCGAATTGTTAAGGGTTGGTGAGACAATAAATGGACTGAAGTTAAACAACCACTGGAAGCCGGGAGATATTAGAAAGCCGATTTTCCCATAATCGGACTCCTTAGAACTGCTCTTTCATGATCTCGCCAGATATCGAACCCAAGTTTTTCAGGTATGGCGGGGAGACTTTAGACTAGTGAGTTAGAATCTCATAGTTTACGGCTCTAACATCAATTAATTTGCGATATTGTGCAATAATCTCTCCTTATCTTTAAACTTAACACAGCTGAACTCCAATTGTCACTCCTTTTTATTGCAAAATTTATTAGATGATTGGTTTACTGTATTTCAATATTTTTAAATTGAAATCATTTATTTGATTTATTAACTACTAAAGTATCTTTCATCGATTTTAAACTAAGGTAGTTTAATGATGAGTCTGTTACTCAGTCTTGTGTCAATGAGTTTTATTAGTTATATTATGTTATAGTCATATAATATTTGTAAATTATCATAAGCTTTTGTGGAACAATAAATAGTATCCTTAGGTGATTTTCCTAGAGTTCTGATTAGTAGGTAATGAAACAGGTGAGAATGTCGCTTGGGTTTGTCGGTCTTTTAGACCATACATTACATGTTATCTGACGTTAAATGACATTTAGATATAAGGTCAGTCGTGACCGATATAGAGCCTGGGACATACATGATTTGGCCGAAGTTGGTTGCCACATTAGCATGATAAGATGAGATTAACAAGATGAATATCCTAGAAACAGCAAAAGCGTTGAGAAAGACTGAAATTTGAGAATATGGTTCAGAAAGACAAAATGGAAAAGTATATATGGTAAAATAGTGGATTTCAGGACCGAGAGGAAGATAAAGAGTGGACGCATCTGTGCCGTTGCAAACGCCTGTGATCCGTGTTACCAAAAGTTTCTAATTATTGATAGTTATAATGTAGACTGCAACGGGACAGTTTGCATCCATTTACTGGGCTCAGACTAACAGTTGATAACTTAGTGGATTAATGCCACATTTCGGTTTCGCTGTCACTAGCTTTATTCCAGTCTACTACTACACTTTAGTAGTATTACAAAGAAGTTACTCAAAACATCGTCAGTATTGCATGTATTGTAAATTATTCCTAAAGTTAGTGATATTTCTTTTTACAAGTGAATTTTAAGCAAAAAGAACCTTTAAAAGTAAGTTGTTTATAAAAGAATCTGAAACCCACACTGTTCCCACTTAGTACATTGTAACCTGAATTAAAAGTATCCTCATTAAATGGATCGTATATCTACTATTGCTATACAACTACAACGCTTCAACCTTATTATCACAGACGCAACAGAAAGGGAAGAAAATCACTTAGAAGATAACTATAACTATCTTCAAAATTGGAAAAATTGGTTACAACTACTCCGTACTTCTAGTTCATACATAATTTTGGTGTAGATACAAAACAACATCAAAAGGCTAAGTTACATATGAGAGAATACCCAAGTTCAAAGTAGATTTTTAGTTAGTCGTTGATTTTTGTTGTTTAGCGTCTAAATTTAAAATGAAAAACAGCAAATCATATATTTTCTATAGCCTTCTAGAAGACCTGTTAACTAAATGCTCTCTAAATACATGATAGTTTGTCACATTCTATTGTTCATCAATAAGTTTTTTTCTATCAAACCACTAGGACACTAAATAAGTGGTATTTTTACCATTAAAATTAATAGGGAATGAATCAACAGATCACTAGAAACATAACACACTCAATATCCAATCAATTATTGAAAACCATTTATAAATCAGATTATTAGTTTATTGACACAAGGCAAAAATAGTCAGCATAAAGTGAATTTCAAGTAGGATGAATTTATAATATGATTTATTTTCATATATTTAGCATTGCTATATGACTTAATGCTTGCTCATTAAGCAATTACTGCTCACAACTACCCGATACATCATTTCCTAAATATATATAGTCGTCATTCTGAGGTTATACGTAGAGTACTAAGTAAGTATGACAGATCGATTGACGAGGTAGTGAATTCTTATCGACTGAGGAGGCACAATATCCGGTGGCCAACAATTGATTCATACGCCATTTGCTCCTTCAGGATACTGGAGTCCATGTGCACCATTGGTTTGGAATCAGGGTTTTCCAATTCCCCTAGGTGGACTCGCCATGTCCACCCGCCCGGTTAAAGCGCCGGACATTCGCTTTCCGTCCTCTCAATTTGGTAAACAACACCCCCGCCACGAGAAGGCAATGAGTAGGACTACCGTGGCAGAGGCTGTATATGCGTGGCCATGTGAGAGCATTTGGAGAGGGATGGTGGCCTCTCCCTACTCTCGGCCGTACCAGGGCATTTGGGGGTTCACAAGAGATATAAGATTAGATAATATATAAATCCAATGTATTTCTGGTGCTATCCTATGTGAATAAAAGAGCAGTGTTTCATTCAAACATGGTTAATATGAGTTTTAGTTTAGTTCGATTGTGTCTAGCTATAAAATCCAAGTCGGACGATTCGTCCTGTCTGGAACGCGTCTGATGGTTGACATATCAGTATAGTATAGCAATATAATAAATGAATTCAACAGACGAAGGAAAATATCGTACATAAATATCTAATGTGAAAGAAAATTCTATAACATTGATAGTAAAGGAAAATCAGAGGGTTAGAAACACGGAGCTTGAACAAGCTGTTGCGTCTCGTCGGTTGAACGCTATATTCGCTTCCCTAAGCTAGTTCCGTGACCCCCGAGCTAGAACTATACAACGACTTGAAGACCAGAGAAAAGGCACAAAGTGTGTGGGAAGCACTTTACTACAGGGTTCATTTATGTACAGAAAATATAGGGATTTTATAGTCATTTAAGAGACCTTGAGTTTTACCGAAAATTCTAGAATACTGCTAAACATAGTAGCAGTGTGCTAATCAGCCAATCAGGATCTCCACATGTGACTTTTCATTCTCGTTATTTTAGTAACATAACTTCTAATTAATCGCTGATTGGTTGAAATGCTCCTTGATAACTCACGAGCTTGTCATGTCGCTTGCGAGAAAATTGCAAGGTCATCCCAACACAAGCGATTGACAAAAAGAAAGGCATATTCCTCTTCTAGACACTGTTATACAACGGAGAGCAGACGGGACAGTTCAATGTTCGATTCATCGAAAAAGTACTTGTTACGATATTTACTTTAATTTTAATGGTTTTTTTCTAGTCAATTTCAAGAAAGTATCGGTGACAACACTATTTTATAGAGCAGGAATGATATATGCCACCGACAAAGTGGGAGAAGAATTGTTGAACACTACAAAATGCCTAAGAGACAACTGACACTCACAGAAATTTCTTGACTACTTTGCAATATAAAACCACAACAGATATATATATATATATATATATATATATATATATATAGAGAGAGAGAGAGAGAGAGCTAGGTGGCAACTGATTTAAAGTAATCGATTAACTAGACGCGCGTATACAATTTACAACAAAAATATATTAAACTGCATTAACCAATAAAATTAATGAGTTGTATATATACTTCACTAAGACTAATGTATTATTCACTAAGAGGTGAAGACAAGAACTGAACGAGATGTAAAGTAAGTAATTATAAGTGATAATAATAATTTCCACCAATGATGGTGGAAATAGTAAACCAGGAGCATATACTTTGAAAACGAAACACATGAAATAGTTCAGAAAACTGCGATCTAATGGAAGATACAACGTGAATCAGTACCAGTGAAGCCAATTTCCAGTCATATAATCACAGTAGATTTTCAACCAAAAATTACAATTTTCTTACGAATATCAACCGGAAAATTTGGAATACCTAAAGAAACTTATTCCCAAAACCAGTAACATTATGGAGCATCATTATGCAATACCTGCCTGCAACTCTACCTGAAGCACTTCTACCGTTACTGTCGATCCCAAACACTAGTAAAGGATGAGCGTTGGGCATTGAGTCAGTAACCTCATCTCGTAGAAAACAACCTTGCTAAAAATCGCCATTCAGGAAAAATCATTTAAACCATTCAAACTCTGTCCTGGGAGTTGAAGAATCTTCATTTAGAAGAACCAACGACGCCTGATGGTGAAAGCAGATATTCTTCCCAAGTCACGAGGCCGATCCCCCTTCTAACAACCAGAGCAACAATAATTATATGTACTATGAATGTTCGGACAATCTTGGAGATTGGGAGGACCTGTCAAATAGTTACGGAAATAAGGCGATATAACTTGGCGGTTCTCCGAATCACTAAAACCCATTGGACTCAGGCCGGACAAAAGAGATTGGATTCGGGAGAGATGATGCTGTACTCTGGTCACGAAGAAGAAAATGCTCCACACACTCAGGGAGTTGCACTGACACAGTCCAAAGAAGCATATAAAGCATTTATTGGATGAAAATCTCATGGATCCAGAACCATTACAATACTCTTCAAAACAAAGGAGGGAATCACACTAAATGTTATCCAGTGCTATACACCCACCAATTATAACAATGATGACGATAAAGATCAATTTTATGAGAGGCTGCAGTCTATCCAAGAGAAACGCTCAGGAAACGACCTGACCATCGTGATGGGATACCTAAACACAAAGGTCGGAATGGGCAACACCGACTATGAAGATATCATGAGACGACATGAACTGGGAGAGAGAAATGAAAATGGGAGAGATTTGCAAATCTATGTGCGTTCAGCAAATTGGTTATAGGCGGCACAATATTCCCATACAAACACATACATAAAGCTACATGGATCTCGCCGAACCACACCACAGTGAACCAGATAGATCATATTTGTATCAAATAAAAATTCCGAAGATCAATGGAAGATGTGAGAACCACGAGAGGAGCTGACATAGCTTCAGATCATCACCTGGTTGTGGCCAACATGAGACTGAAGCTAAGGAAACACTGGATAACTGGACAAACAACATTACAAAGGTTCAATACAGCCTTCCTTCGAGATACTAACAAACTCAACGAATTCAAGATAACTCTCAACAAAAGGTTCCATGTTTTACAGGATCTACTGAAAGAACAAGAAACTACGATGGAGGACAACTGGAAAGGGATCAAAGAAGCACTAACTTCAAATTGTCAGGAGGTTGTGGGTAGCAAGAAGCATCATCATAATGAATAGATCTCTATCGAAGCCCTGGACAAGATTCAAGAAAGGAAGAACAAGAAGACAGTAATTAATAACAGTCGAACATGAGCAGAGAAAATCAAGGCGCAAGCAGAGTACGCAGAAGCAAACAAGGAAGTGAAGAAAAGCATTATAGGCAACAAGCAGAAATACATGGGAGAACTAGCAACGACGGCGGAAAAAGCTGCAGGAGAAGGGAATATGAGACAACTATATGAAATAACGAAGAAACGGGCAGGGAAATATGGTAAACAAGAGAGACCAGTCAAGGACAGAGAAGGCAAGCCAATCTCTGAGATTCAAGAACAGAGGAAAAGGTATATAGAATACTTCGAGGAACTGCTGAATAGACCAGCTCCACTGAATCCACCGAACATCGAAGCAGCACACACAAACCTTCCCATAGCTGTCACTCTACCAACGATCGAAGAAATCAAGAGTGGGAAAGCAACAGAACCTGACAATATACCAGCTGAAGCACTAAATTCAGACATACAAGTAACTGCAAACATGCTTCATCCTCTATTCAGGAAGATTTAGGAGGAAGAACAAGTGCCGACAGATTGGGAAGGATATCTCATCAACTTACCAAAGAAAGGAGATCTAAGCAAATGTGAGAACTACAAAGGCATCATATTACTGTCAGTACCAGGAAAGGTTTTCAATGGAGTGCTGCTGGACCGGATGGAAAACTCAGTAGACCCCCAGCTTCGAAATCAACAGACTGGATTCCGTAAGGATCGGCCGTGAACAGATCAAATTGCGACACCATGGATCATCGTTAAACAATCAATTAAGTGGAACTCGTCATTGTACATCAATTGCCTTGACTATGAGAAAGCATTTCACAGTATGGATAGAAAAACCTTATGGAACCTTCTCTGACACTATGGTGTACCTGAAAAAATCGTCAACATCATACGGAATTCATAGGAAGGACTACTAAGCAAAATTGTGCATGGAGGACAGCTGACAGATGCATTTCCAGTAAGGACCGGAGTCAGACAAGGCTTTCTACTTTCCCCTTCCTCTTTCGTCTGCTGATTGACTGGATTATGAAGACTTCGACATCTGATGGGAAGCACAGAATACAATGGACAACTCAGAACCAATTAGACGATTTGGACTTCGCAGATGACCTAGCCCTTCTATCTCATACACACGACAAATGCAGACGAAGACAGCAAATGTAGCAGCAGTCTCTGCATCAATAGGTCTCAACATACACAAAGGTAAAAGCAAGATTTTCAAATACAACACGGAGGACATCAACCCAATCACAGTTGATGGCGAAACTCTGGAAGAGGTGGAAACACACACGTACGGGGGAAGAATCATTGAAAGACAAGGAGGATCGTATGTAGATGTAAAGGCGAGGATTGGCAAAGCAAGGGCAGCATTTCTACAATTGAAGAACATATGGAACTTAAAACAACTGTCAACTAACTTCAAAGTGAGAATCTTCAATACGAACGTCAAGACAGTTCTACTGTACGGTGCTGAAACGTGGAGAACTACTACATCCATCGTCAAGAAGGTACAAGTATTTATAAACAGTTGTTTAAGCAAATTACTCAACATTCACTGACCGGATACTATCAGTAACAGCGTTTTATGGGAGAGGACAAACCAACCTCCAGCTGAAGAGGAAAGTAGGAAAAGACGTTGGAAGTGGATAGGACATTCATTAAGGAAACTGTATCACGAGGCAAGCCCTAACTTGGAATCATAAAGGGAAGCGGAAAAGTGGAAGGCCAAAGAACACATTAGGCCGGGAAATGGAAGCAGATATGAAAAGGATGAATGTTAACTGGAAAAGATTGCCCAGGACAGGGTTGGATGGAGAACGCTCCTCGACGAGGGGTAACAGGCGTAAGTAAGTATTATGCATATAAGTAAAACGAATAGTACTGGAGTTAGGGTAATCTTTATTAAGAGTAACACTTAAATATGCGTCACTGACTCACTAAGTAAACAGAAGAACAACCAAAAGTACTGGGTTCACATTGAAAACATTGGAGACAAACTCAACCAAACGGAATCGGATGAACATAATGCTTTAGTGATTTTGACTGACTGTTAACAGTTTTAACTACACCTTTGCTTAACAACACTGGGAGGTACTAACGAGCCCGAACATTCAAATTTCTAGAACATCTGCCAACATAACTTGCTCCACAGGAGCAGTTGAATTGATAGGTATAGAAAGAAGTGACTAGTCTAGACAATTTATCCACCAATCTTGGAGTGGTCATGGAATTGTGTAGAAAACATTAACTGTAGTTTACCTGCATTAAGTTTTTGGATAAATCTTTGTAACTTTAGTATCAGCGCTTCACTGGGTGCATAGCCCCTAAATTGTATGTGTATATAGAGGGACGTTTTTGCTCAAATTTAAGTTTTCCTTATGCTCTATTTTACGGCTAAATGTTCATGTATAAATTTCTCCGGATATCCGTTTTCTTTCAGACTAGTGAGCAATGCCTTTGTTTCTTCTTCATCCGCATCTAGAGTGCATACGGTCTTGATTTTATAGTGAAATGTCTTAATCAGGTTCCCTTTGTATTGTCAAGGAGCAAAAGTGAGAAAATTTGAGGACGAATCTATCTACCTGTCAAGATACATATATCCTATTTACCGCATGAAGATCAGGAACAGTTGCCGTACATCCATAGTCTTCGTCTCGCTGATGTGTACCGCACAGTAAATACTAACATACAGGATAGTAATAAACACTAGAAAGATGTATACGACCAACAGACTAAGAGACCAGTGTATAAACCTGGAAATCATGTTTGGATGCAAAGCCCTATAATGCAGGCAAACTGAAATTAATGTTTCCTACACATTAAGCAAAGGCGCAGTTAAAACTATTAACAACTCCATTTTATCTCATTCGACTATAAAATTGTAATATCCCTATTAGAGCGCTCTGCACTACGTGGGACTATTGGTCTGGATTACCACCCAGTAAAACCATCAGATTTATATTTCTACTCGAAATGTCTGTACCAAAAGTGCAGAAGAGCATATAATGATAGAGTGAAGTCTATTTGTAGTGGTTACACAGAAGGAGCTTAGAAGTAACATTCATCACATAACTGTTGGTACCATTTTGTTATTCAATATATAACACTGTTTCGAGTGTCATCTTTCTACTGTTTTTTTTTATTCAGATATAAGAATTCCGGTTTACAGTATCAATACTTGTTTTGGTATATTATTATTCGCCCTGTGTATCTTCATATCATTGAGTTCTTTTAAGGGTCTACAATACACTGCCGTACTAGGACGAAATAGCCGTCTAGTTTTCCTAGTTCACAGTGGCGTTCTAATGAAGATGATTCCGCGATACAAACGACGGGAAATAAACATATAAATACTTTCGCTCTATTTATGCATTGTTTTTAAAACTTACCCCCTTCAATACTTTTCCGCATCGTTTCGACATATTTTTTTCCTTTGTTCACTTCCGATTTATTTTTCAAACGTTTAAATTCCAGTTGCATATCACGTTCTTTCAAAGTTTCTGTTAGATTTAAGCCTGACTATAAACAGAAGCCATAACAACAAATAGGCACTGAAAAATAAAACCTTAAAAATAGAGCAAAACAAACCAATGAAATTAACCAGCGCGGAGATAATTTCAAACAATTTCTGATAACCACTATTATTATTATTACTAATATGGCTAGGCCAAAGTATAGGGATGGGACAGTGTGTGACTTCAAGGTCATGGCAAATGGTTCAAACAAGAGCTTAAGTTGTCGAACCCACGCAAACTAATTTTGACAAGAGTATAATAATTAACGTACAACCAGGAAGCCGGGTTATTTTTCAAAACCATTCTAGGAGTTTATGATGAGGAAATGATGGCATTTAATGCAGACATGTAAAATGCACATATTGTACACTCAGTTTGGAAGATGATATCTGACTGAGCATCTGGCTATTGAATGCAATTTTATTGGTTAACTTGTGCTCAGTTATCATTAATTCGAATGCCTTACATGTGAATCATTCCAATATCCATTTGCCTGGTTACCTGTCTGTCTATCGATTAACCATATTCCACTATTATATTGACGCATCAGTACTTCAGGCATACTGATTAATTGACATTCTGAACAGTTTGAATTCATTTCATTACAATGCAGACTGGATCAATCTAATGCAGTACTAGATTTATTTTACAACAATACGATTGTTGAAAATAGGATATCCTATTTCCAGTATTATCTCCATTTTAAGTGTCAATGTCAACATGAATCCAATTCAATCACGAATAGGTCCAAATTTTGTGTTATTCCAAAACTATTATTATTCAGTACAGTGGTGTCCACTCACTCCTATTAGACTTCGATTCTTTATTGATACCGTATATGCCGGTTAATTCAATTATTTAAATATATAGAGTTGAGATCATGAGTCAATTGAAGCTAGACCACCATCGAAAACCTGGAAGCACTGGATGGCCGTTTCGTCCTATTATGGGACTCCTCAACAGTGCGCATCCACGAACCCACTCTCGCGGGATTCGAACCCAGGACCTACCAGTTTCGAGCCGAAGCCCTTAAGCGATAGACCACTGAGCTGGCATCCAACGGTGTTAATGTCTAACTTCAACTGATTCACGAAATTGAGCAACCATTCACCAATGTCATCAGTGAGTTCCTATCTCACAACAAACCTGGTTGAACTCCACCGGTTACTGCTTCTCACTAGAACTCCAGGAAATACCTCAAGGAGTCAGCTGGCATCCAGCCAGCTCAGTGGTCTATCGGTTAAGGGCTTCGGCTCGAAACTGGTAGGTCCTGGGTTCGAATCCCGCGAGAGTGGGATCGTGGATGCGCACTGCTGAGGAGTCCCATAATAGGACGAAACAGCCGTCCAGTGCTTCCGGGTTTTCCATGATGATCTAGCTTCAATTGACTCATGATCTCAACTCTATAAATTACTAAAATCTCCACGAAACCCCTTCTGATATTTAAATATATATTAAGGAACATTTGTATTCTAGCACTTACTTGATTCATTTGTTCTCGGTAATCGAGTATACAGATAACGAATATAACAGAAATACAGCTAGTTAGGATTACAATTAAGGCTTAGCATTATTATTAGGATAAGTCCGTAAAAGCAATAAAGACATGACTTAATAATTCACTACATCAATATAAGGGTAGTCGTGAAGGTATATATTTTAGCCTAATATATGAACATCTATAGGCGTTGTTTCGTTTGAATGTAAACCACAAGAACGTTGAAATGCTAACGAAAACCCGATCTTTCGTTTTTTGTGATTTTCTCCATTAAAAACTAATCACTGGGACCTGGCGAAACGTTCTCACATTTATTTTAGGAGTTACAGAAGTTCACTTGTAAATTTTAGTTTTGATATTACGATAATTATCATTAGGATTATTAGGTTATACTATGAATTTACATGTAATAATCGAAAACGATCCGTTTCGTAATATAATAGCTGCTTCGCTTTGTCAACAGCTTTCTTTCTTCGTTCCGCTTGAAATTTCTCCTCTTCACGATCGATGGCCATTCTACATTTTTCCTCTTCGGCTAAACGATTAGAACGATCTTCAAGCTTCTTTTGTCTTGATCCCTGATAATTTTATTAAATTTAAAGTAATCAATAACTAGATGCGCGTGTACAATTTACAACAAAAATACATTAAACTGCTTCAACCAATAAAATTATCAAATTGCATATATGCTTCTTCACTAACTTACTTACTTACGCCGCTGACAAGCATTCTCCAACCTACTCGGTCCTGGACCTTCCTTTCAGGTTCTATTCAATTTTTGTTCATTTTTCTCATGTCTGTCTCCATTTCTCGGCTTAACATGTTCTTTGGTCTTCCTCTACTCCTTTGGCCTTCAGGATTCAATTTGAGGGCTTGTGACGCAGTTAAGTGATTTCCTCAGTGTGTGTCCTGTCCACTTCCAGTGCTTTTTCCTGATTTCTTCCTCCACAGGCATCTGGTTTGTTCTCTCCCACAGTAAAATGTTACTGATAGTGTCTGGCCAACAGATCCGAAGTATCTTGCGTAGACAGCTGTTAATAAACACCTGTATCTTCTGGATGATGGCCATCGTAGTTCTTCAGGTTTCCGCCCCAAACAGCAGAACTGTTTTGACATTTGTATTGAAAATTCTGATCTCGGTGTTGGTTGACAATTGTTTTGAGCTCCAGATGTTCTGCAGTTGTAGATATGCTGCTTTTACTTTGTCGATCCGCGTCTTCACATCTGCATCAGATCCACCGTTTTCATCAATGGTGCCGCCCAGACATGTAAAGGTTTTCACATCCTCCAGAGCTTCACCGTCAAGTGTAATTCGATTGGTGCATGCTGTATTGTATCGGAGAGTCTTGCTTTTCCGTTTGTTTATATTGAGATCTACTGCTGCTACTACACTGGTTGTCTTCTCCTGCATTTGTTGTCGCGTGTGCGATGAAAGAGCAAGATCATTTGCAAAGTCTAGATCGTCCAGCTGCATCCTAGCTGTCCACTGTATCTCGTGCTTCCCTCCGGATTTTGAGGTCTTCATGATCCAGTCAATCACCAGGAAAAAGGGTGAGAGTAAGCAACCTTGCCTAACACAGGTCTTTACCTTAAACGAATCACTGAGTTGTTCTCCGTGAGCGATTTGGAAGTTTAGTCCATCATAGGAATTCCGTATGATATTTACTATCTTCTCAGGCACGCCGTAGTATAGAACAAGACTCCATAGTGTTGTCTTGTCCACTCTATCAAATGTCTTCTAGTAGTCAATGACGTTGATGTAGAGTGATGAATTCCATTCAATTGATTGTTCCACAGTGAACTGTAGAGTTGCGATTCGGTCGGTACACGATCAATCCTTACGGAATCTAGCCTGTTGTACTCGAAGTTGGGCGTCCACGGAGTCCTGCATTCTGTTTAACAATACTCTGTTGAAGACGTTTCCTGGTATTGAGAGGAGAGTGATGCCCCTGTAGTTGTCGCACTTGCTCAGATCGCCTTTCTTTTGTATTTTGATCAGAAGTCCTTTTTTCCAGTCTGTTGGTACTTGTTCTTCATCCCAAATCTTACTGAAGAGGATGTGGAGTATCTTGGCAGTTGCTGCTACATTTGCTTTCAGTGCCTCTTCCGGGATGTTGTCTGGTCCCACTGCTTTGCCGCTCTTCATTTGTCTAATGGCCATGCTGATCTCTTCAATTGTTGGTGGGCCAACATCGATTGGGAGGTCTGTGGGTGCTGCTTCGATTTTGGGTGGGTTCAGTGGAGCTGGTCGATTCAAGAGTTCTTTGAAGTGTTCTACCCACCTGTTTCGTTGTTCTTTAATGTCGGTGATTACTTTGCTTTCCTTGCTTTTCACTGGTCTTTCTGGTTTACGGTGATTTTCAGCAAGTTTCTTTGTTATATCATACAGTTGTCTCATGTTTCCCTCCCTTGCAGCCTTTTCCGCTGTCATTGCTAAATCTTCCACATATTTACGTTTGTCGGTTCTGATGCTCCTCTTCACTTGCTTGTTGGCCTCTGTGTATTCGGCTTGTGCCTTGGCTTTTTCCGCTCTGGTTCGGCTGATATTGATTGCTGCCTTCTTGTTCCTCCTTTCTTCAATTTTATCCAGTGTACCAACAGTGATCCATTCCTTGTGACGGTGCTTCTTTTGGCCCAGAACCTCTTGACATGTTGAAACGATTGCCTCCTTGATACTTTTCCAGTTGCTCTCCATGGTAATTCCCTCTCCATTGAGTAGATCATGAAAGGCCTGGAACCTGTTGCTGAGGGCTATGTTGAATTTGTCAGCATCTCGGAGAAAAGCCGTATTAAACTTTTGTGATGTTGTCCGCAACGTTGTCGAGTGCTTCTTGAGTTTTAGTTTCATCTTGGCGACCAGCAAATGATGATCGGATGCTATATCAGCTCCTCTTCTGGTTCTCACATCCTCCATCGTCCTCCTGAACTTTTTGTTGATGCAGATATGGTTGATTTGGTTCTGCATAGTGTCATCCGGTGACGTCCAGGTGGTTTTGTGAATGCGTTTGTGTGGGAATATTGTGCCGCCTATAACCAATTTGTTGAACGCACATAGATTTGCAAGTCTCTCACCATTTTCGTTCCTTTCTCCAAGTCCATGTCGTCCCATGACGTCTTCGTATCCAGTGTTGTCCATTCCAACCTTGGCATTGATATCTCCCATCAGAATGGTCAGGTCCTCGGTTGGGCTCTTCTCGAAGATCGACTGCAGCCTATCGTAGAATTGGTCTTTAACGTATTCATCGTAGTCGTTGGTTGGCGCATAGCATTGGATGGCGTTCATTGTAAAGCCATCTCTTTTTGTTTCGAAGGTGGCTTTGATGATCCTTGGTCCATGCGATTCCCATCCTATAAGTGCATTTTGTGCTTGTTTGGACAGCATCAATGCAACTCCTTGTGTATGTGGAGCATTCTCTTCTTCATGACCGGAGTATAACAGAAGCTCTCTTGAAGCTAATCTTTGTTATCCAACATGCGTACAATGTGTTTCACTGATTCCAAGCACCTCCAGGTTGTATTTCCTCCAACATCGTACGGACGTTCCATGTGCCTGTAAAACGTTTTGCTCTTGTTTTTAGAAGGGGCATCGGACTCGTGACTTCCGAAGAATCTCGGCATTCATCATGAGGCGTCATAATTTCTTCTTCAACTCCCAGGACAGAGTTTAAATGGTATGAATTATTTTTTCTGATTAGTGTTTTTTAGCGGGTTAGTTTTTCTACGGGATGGGGTCGCTAACCCCATGTCCAACGCTCATCTTCTATACGGGCTTGGGACCGGCAGTAGCTCCCGAAGGAGCAACAGGCGGAGTTTTCTTCACTAACACTTACTTTTTATCCCGTTCAGTTCATATCCTTACCTCTCAGTGAATAATACATTAAAGTGATATTAACACCAATGACGGTGGAAATAGTAAACTAGGAGCACATACATCGAAAACAAAACACATGAAATAGTTTAGAAAAATATGACCTAACGGAAGATACAGAGTGAATCAGTACCGGTGAAGTCAATTTCCAGTCACATAATCACAGTAGATTTTCAACCAAAAATTACAATTTTTTTGCGAACGTTAAACGGGAAATCTGGAATACATAACGAATTTACATGGTGTAATAAAAAGGCGAAGATTATCAGAACTATGTGATATACTAGCGCAATACATTTCGAACAATCTGATCACACATATACGTGTTAAGAACATTTATATATAAAAATAAAAGGTCAACTAGACTGGAAATCGGGGGTAAGAGGAAACAATAATAATAATAATAAAATAATGTGAAGACAATTTGAAACCTAATCACTTTGGATAATGTTTAAGGTGAGAACAAACTGTTTTTGAATACACAAAGGAGGTTTGAATTTTCACCTGAAGACTGATGTTCAGTTTGAAAATCTATTTACCCAGACACAAGACCTTACACCCACAACAAAAGTAGAACATGAAAGATTCAAAACCACACTGGTTGACTGCTGTAACCAATTTAAAAGCAACAAGCATTACACAAATAGTATATTGACTGATAAACATCGCGAAGCTATCCGGAAACTAAAATTGAATGAACACCTTATCACTAAACCTGATAAAGGATCCGGCACCGTAATTATAAACAAAACAGATTACTTAGATAAGATGAATACCCTACTGAGTGATCAAACTAAATTCCAAAAGCTTGTTTCATGCAAAGACCTCAATGAAAAGACTGAACGTCAACTAACTGCGGCATTAAAATTTTTAAGACAACATCAATACATCCCTGAGCACACCTATAATGAGCGCAAGCCTTCTGGAACATACACCCCTCGACTCTATGGCCTACCTAAGATTCATAAACCTGAGGTTCCTTTACGCCCGATTCCGGACATGTCAAACTCACAATACCATTCAACAGCAAAATGGTTAGTGAAATTATTGGAACCATTATACCAAGAAGTGATTAACCACAGTGTTAAAGACGTATTTGAATTTGTGGATTCAATAAAAAATAGGAATATAAACCGTAAAACCATGTTATCACTAGACATAGAATCCTTGTTCACTAACATCCCCCTGACTGAAACTATCGATTACATATGTGAACAAGTGCTAGAAAAGAAAATAGGGATACCGATTCCAATAAATAAAATGAAAGAACTCCTGTTGAAATGTACTATGAATATCTACTTTAAGTTTAACAATGAATTTTACAGACAAGTAGATGGAGTAGCAATGGGATCACCACTAGGCCCAATTCTTGCTGACATTTTTCTGGCCAAACTGGAAAATGGACCGTTAAAAGACACCATAAGTAAGCTAGACTACTACTGTCGATACATAGATGACACATTAATCGTATGCGACGAAATGGTTGACAAACAGATGTTGGACTTTTTCAATAACGTCCACCCAACGAGGAAGAAAAAGACAATAGTATAGCTTTCATCGACGTCCTACTTTCTAGAAGGAGAGATGGTTCCATCAAGCGAAATATATTTAGAAAGAATACATGGACGGGTCAGTATACCCATTTCCAAAGCTTCACTCCTCTTCAGTATAAAATAAATTTGGTTAAATGTCTCAGCCACAGAATCAAGCTATTATGTTCTGAGGACAGTGTTGATAGTGAAATAGATATACTAAAAAATACATTGCGAAATAATGGCTACCCGGATAAGTCCGTTAAGAAATACCTAGTAGAAAGTACTGTTAAAATAAGAAGAAATTGTGAAACAGTGAGTAAAAAACGTTGTATCTGAAACTGGACTTCAAAGGTGACATAGCGGATGATATTCTAACACGCCGACTGAAACGATCGGTTGAAAGAACGTCTTACGCCGCCAGCTACACATCACTTTCTCAACTAAACCAGTACTTACACAATTAATCAAGGATAAGTTACCGAAGATGGGCTCTTCCATGTGTGTATACCAATTCAACTGCTCCTGTGGAGCTGGTTACATAGGCCGTACTCAGAGGGCTTTATCCTTGCGTATTCGTGAACATGTACCAACATGGTTGGGAAAAGGAGTCACTAAATCCATTAACAACGTCATCCTTTACAATTTGGTAAACAGTGAACATCATATCAAAATAGAGGAAGCCTTCTCTGTTTTATATCAAGTTCCGAAAACTCTACCTCAAAGAGCTAGATTACGATTACTTTACACAGCCGAAGCCATCTGGATCAACGCCAAAAAACCAAACTTATGCATTCAGAAAAGGTATATCCAGCCACTATGTTTACCTTGGCCTACGACTGGATAACCGGATTCCTAAACTAAACATTATAAACCTCCCCCTTTTTTCTTTCTTTTTTGTTGATAACCTCTATCTTAATCTTCACATCCATCATTCCCAATTCGTTCATCTTAATTACCTTGGCAATACCCTCTTTTATTACATATTATATTCACACAACAATCTTATTACTATTACTATTTATCTTTATTATCTCAATTAACAAGATGAGATTCTCCTACTATGAATTTTATTCACACAATTTTCTTCGCATTTTCATTTTTCCTAAATTACTGTTATATTGATTGTGACTGGACACTTGAGTACAAATCATTTCGACCTTTATCAAATGACCTTTCTAATTTACAAATAACACAATTTTGAAGTATATGTGTCGTAACAGATGCAAACGTTCACCATTTTTAACATGTTTTATTGTCATTTTGGCCTTTGTAAAATATCATCATAATTATGGACTTATAACTGTAGAGCCTGATGAGGAAGTTATTGAAAACAATTGTTCGCCCAAATATTGTTCATTTTTGAATATTCTATGGGAATCTTTAAACTGCTTCAATAAACCTTAGTATGCGCCCTTTTACACATTTATACAACACCACAAAAGCCGAATTAAGGTCAATCTTATGGCCTGTCTCAATTATATGTTTAGCAATAGAGGATGATGGATGTTTATCATCTCTTACTAGGTCATTTGATTTTATGTATGTCCCACACGTCTTTAAATAATCAAAGCTTGTGTAAAGCTAAACTGGTGGATATAGCACACCAATTTCATAATGTTGGACCAGAGCAGAGAGGCATATTAACTTCTCAGCATCTTAAATCAATAAAAGAACTACGAACAAACACTGATATTGTCTTGTTGAAGCCTGATAAAGGATCAGGCATGGTTATCATGAACAAATGTGAATATAAAAGTAAGATGTTATTCATCCTCAGTGATGAAAGTAAATTCATGCCCGATGTTGAATTTGGAGGTATTAGCAAACTAGAGGGAAGAGTAAACTCAAACCTGGAAAAATTGTTACACATAGATATTATTGATAAAGAAGAATTTAATTTCTTAAAATCTAAGGGTTCGGAGTATCCTCATTTATATGGACTACCTAAAATTCACAAATCAAACATTCCTTCACGCCCAATTTTATCAATGTACCGATCACTTACATAAAACCTAGCTAAATGACTAACAACATTGCTGGATCCTATTCGAAGACGTTTATGTAAGTATTCTCTGAAGGATTCGTTTGGATTGGTCGATCATTTAGGTGATATTCATAACAAAGGAAAGATAATGTGTTTATTTGATGCGAATTCCTTATTCACAAATGTACCTTTCAAAAAGACTATTGATAGATTATGTGACTGCATATCGTTAAACAGACTTAAATTACTTGTTCCTTTAGAAATTCTTAAAAATGCAGATGAAGATATTTAGTGTAATAGCAGCCTCTGGAGCAGTAGGCCTCAACATACACAAGGGGAAAAGTAAGATCTTAAAATACAACACAGAGGGCATCAACGCAATCACACGTGATGGAGAAGCTCTGGCAGATATGGAATCTCACGTACCTGAACATCATCACTAATGAACAAGGAGGATGTGATGCAGACATAAAAGCAAGGGTTAGCAAAACAAGGGCCGCATTCCTATAGTTGAAGAACATATGGGACTCAAAACAACCGTCAGCCAACGTCAAATTCATCATCTTCAATACGAACATCAAGACAGTTCTACTGTACGAGCTGAAACTTAGAGACCTACTACAACCACCATCAAAAAAGTATAGGTATTTATAAACAATTATTAACGCAAGATAATCAATGTCCGTTGGCCGGATACCATCAGCAACAGCCTACTGTGGGAAAGAACAAAACAGCTCCCAGATAAGGATGAAATTAGGAAGATACTGGAAGTGAATAGAACATCCATTACAGAAATCACCGAACTGCATCACGAGGCAAGCGCCAACTTGGAATCCTGAAGGCAGATTGCAAAGAGAAAGACCAAAGAACACAGTGAGCCGAGATTTAAAAGCAGACATCAGAAGAATGGATAGCGACTGGAAACAACAGGAAAGGAGAGACCAGGAAAAGGTTGGTTAGCGAATCTTAGTCAGTGGCTGATGTCCCACCAGGTGTAACATGTGTATGTAGAGTGTAATTCCTGTCAAATTACTAATGTTCGTTATTTTCAAGTTGATTATCATATTTTTTAGCTTCATACTGATTTCTAATCAATCGTGAGCTGTACTAAACTTATTTTTCCAAAGATAACCTCTCTCTGCCTAATGGTGAACACTTCTATTGCTGGTTTAAATGTCTTTTTACTCTGAATGTTTAATATCGACCTCAGTTATGAATCGTTGTGCTGAACGCTCGGTCTGAGTAATTCATTACCAAGTTGCCTTTTACTGAGAATCTCCGTGAATATGCGAATGGCATATGTCACCCAGTTTGTGTAATAAGCATCTCCGATCACGCTGTTGTATCGGTCATTGAATTCTTACACGTTTACAGAAACAACGTCATTTTCTTTATGAATTTCAATTTCGTACATTCTCGGACGTGGAAGCTTGAATAATGCGGATAACGTCAACAGTGTTTGAGGCATCCTTCTAATGATTATGGAAATGAAAACGACGAACCGCTTAATGACAGCATGTCGCCATTTCATCATTTCTGATAGCGATTGGAAAGCTCGAAACAGTACATTAAGTACTTTGTTAAACACTCATGTTCGTAGTTTAGAGAAAAAGTGATCACTGAAGGAGTGTTAGCGACTTATATCACTTTTCATAAATTAGTAACCAGTAATTACCATTTAAAAACTAACAACGTGTTTGGACAAAACGGGATTAAAGATTTTTAATAAAAACACAAAACTGATCATGAGATATGTAATAACCCATGATTTATGTGCCATAACATCGCATCAGTTGTCATTTTCATTATTTACGTCTATTTATTTCTGTCCTTTACATCGTTTTTACGTACACTATTCACCGTTTATAAACGTGTCGTCAGATAACAATACGTTAATTCGACTGCATACACCGTCCGTGAGGTCACTTAATCTTTCTATTCCGCCTTTTAGGGTCGATGACCCACAACTTTAGTTCATTACGATGTACATCAAGTCTCAGCAGTTGAATATAGGGAATATGGTAAAAATAGCCGATAGGATATATGAGAGAACCAAGCGAATGAACCTTCAATTACTTAACATAACGTTAGATCACAGGGTCGATATGCTACAGAAAGAGATAAGTATTTTATCACACATGTTGACGAATTTTAAGTAGAACGATATTCCACTATGGTCACGAAATAGGTCACGCACGAGAAGACGATCACTCTCCAGGAGAAACTGATCGATAAAATTTTAACCACATTCATCTTATCATAGTCTGACTAGTCATATTAGGTCGAAAAGGCGTATATCTCCAGCATTAGTGCGCACAAATCATGGGATTCAGTCTGACCACAAAACATTTACTAGTCACAAAATCAATCTCAGTGTGATGATGAAATATACCTCACCATTACCCTTTTCAACATACTTAAGTGATAAGAAACAAAATGCCTACTAAAATAAATAAATGAGCATACCAAAAGTGTATTTGTCCAGTTTTTTACCATTTCTCTTGATTGTGTTTTAATTTCTTTAATCTGTAACTTCTTCTCTTCTATTTTAACAGTTTCACTCAAATGACTATCCATTTGGTTTCTTAAACGTTTCCATTCTGATTGACTTATCAGTTTCACTCGTCTTACGTCCACAGGTGTATCATTAACAGGATTTTCAAATAAAAATTCTTTCCTGTCTATATTTAAAAGAATACGGAAATGTAATATTGAATATTTTCCTAGTAAAAAAAATGTTTGATAAAGTCACACTACCCTGCGGTCCTTCAGAGATGCTCAAACACAATCATAAAAAAGTGAAGCCGGTTTCAAGCCAGTCAACATACAATAAATAAAGCCGAAAAGGGCAGAAGTTTTAATCGGAATTTAGGGTTAAGTGGCCCATGTTGCTGAACACTTAAATACTGAGCTCATCTTTTTTAAACATAATGAACCATCAGGTTTCTTGAAATATATAAATTATGGTTCTTATCGCTTATTATTCCCATTTTTATCCGTTTTAAACGCTTTAACACTTATACACTGCAAAGTATCCATTCCACCAATATTACAGGTATGACAAGCAGACAATTCCCAAAAAGCATAAAACATGTGTCTGAGGCTTTCTAATATTTGACTCCAAACACCTAATCGACCAGTCAGTTAGTAATTCTTCCAGTATTGAGGAATGTAGCTAGTTAGTTTGTATTTCTTTGTACGTAGTATTCACCACAGAATACCTTCAGTCATGGTGCCATTAAAGATTAGGAAGCATTAGACGGCTGCTTGGTCCTAGTATGGAACTGGTCAGAGTTGCGCACCCACTCAAGTTTTCAAGTATATCCGCCCATATGAAAATATCGTTAAATTTATTAAGGCATTCGTTGCTATCTAAGATGATTAGGAAACTGTAAAGATAAAGGTCGAGTAAAATAAGTATGGTGATAAACAAACTCTTAGTTCATAAAATAATAAAACTATTTTCATTTGGAATTGCTCAAACAAAACGTAACACCAACTGATGAATCCATTAGCTTGAAGTCTGAGTCGTGCTAGTAGATGTGTCTTCATAACCAAAACTGTTGGTTGGAAAGACTGGATGACGTTACTCAAAGTAGGTCACAATGGTGTACATCTATTTACTGTTCATATTCTATTAAATAATAAGCTTTGAAAACCATCCTCCAAAAGAACGGCTATACAATCAATTTCATCAAAAAATACCAGCCGCACCCATCATCAGGAAAGAGGTCAAGTACAGAAAACAACAAAAGGATCACCTTACTATATATAAAAGGTATATCACAAACGGCAACGAGGCTGCTGAAATCCTTCGGAATAGGTGTTACCCACAAACCAACAAAATCCCTCCATTCAATCTTATGCAAACCAAAAGATGAAATGACAAAAGAGGACAAACCAAACATCATCTACAAAGTAAATTTTGCCAACTGAGACAAACACTACATCGGACAAAGCGGACGCCCTATTCATATTCGCCTGCATGAACATCAATTAGCAGTCCAACGCCACGACATGTCTTCACTCATATCAATACACGTGGACAACTGCGAACACATATTTGACTGGAAAATGGTCAGTCAGTCAGTCAGTCAGCTACAACGTAGGACCAGGAACATATATGCATCGGTCCAAGTTGCCATACCTCTTTAGCACAACAAGATGAACACCGGATTCATAGAAGCAATTAATTTAGTGATGGTAGTATATAAAGAAAGATTGTATAGAAGGATATAGTACAGGAAGGAAGAGAGATATGAAGCAATTTTAATCTGGAAAACTGGAAAATGGTGGAAATCTTAGATAGAGGCAATCCTAAAATCACCAGAGAATTTTGAGGAGCTTGGCGCTCAGGTCATTTAGCAATGAACAAGGACATTGAAATCAATCCAATTTATCAAACAATCAGGAAAATTATGCAGAAACACAAGAACAAAAACCAAACCAATGGGTCGGTCACAGTCAGCATGAAGATTTATAGACATATTGATTTATCCACTACTTAGTCGAGAAAACAAATTTTTGTCGTATCGAGATAATTAAAAAGGGCAGCGATATTTTTGTCACGTAAATCTTTTAGCTTAGATTATATCCTAAAGTGTAACAAGTGGTATCACAATATGTGCACCCTACTCACACCAGCTGCATGTAAAAGGTATCGTAAGCCACTATCAAGTTGGTTGTGCAAAGCATGCTGCTCTACAAAGTCTCTGCTAATTCTTGAGGCGACTGAGCTACTGAACATAGCTAGAAAGATGCCCTCAGACAAACAACCAGCAGTAGATAAGCAGCTGTCAGTTTACGAAGAAGCGGAGAGGGCTGACATAAGTCCAGCTTTGGATTTCAATGAAAACACTGAGGGGAATCTTCAAAACGTAGCGGATAGCAAATACAGAGATGTAAGCATCGACAAGAAGAAACAAATTATAGGGAGCTCTAGGATACGTGAGCCGACAGTTTCAGCTCTGGATTCTGAAATCAACGAAAAACAGAACATTGTAGTTTGTCAAGACGGATTTCGCTGAGCGATCAGTCATTTTTCATAAAATAAGTCTTCCAAAAATGAACCAAAGGCTAGATTTGAACACGATCTAAGTCACATTCAGTCCTTGGTAAACAACCTACTTCCAGAAACAGTAACAGGAGTTAGTATTCATAAGCTTTGTAGAATAGGACAAAAGGCGGATTCTAAAAGTACACAGAAAAGCCATTATTAGAAGTTACCGTTGCTTCTACTGAAGAAAGGAACGCAAACTGGCTGGATGCCGAATATATGTCCGTAAGGATCTCAGCGTGGTTGACCGTAATGAGATGATTGTCAGAGGTAGAAATAAATTAGCGCCATCGAAACAGTGAAAAAGCCTTATCAAGCACACATAGCAGAGGCATATCACAGGAAGCTATAAAATATGTCAGTTCATTGTCCCAGCTTCAGAACACCATACAGATCCTCGTATCAACGCAAAACCGAGTATACGAGAGGAAAGCGTAAACATTGCAAAAGATTTGATTAAGAAACATATGTCGATTATTAGCTAACATTGGAACATAGAAAATCAAGTAAAAACATGAACTACACATCTGTTACCAAAGTGGACTGCAAGGATGAGAAGAGCTTAGAAAACAAAGCCTCAAAGCTTGTTGAAACAGATCTTGCAGAAAGGTTAGTCGTTCTTCACAGGTTAGTAAAGGCTTGAATACGACACAAGCTATGTTAAGTTGTTAATAATGTTGAGTAAATTACTCAGGAGTATCAGTAGAAGAGGCATGGACTCATTACCAGCAGTTATACAATCAAGTGAATTAACCATTTATACCTTGAACAGTCCTAAAAAAGAAGCACGGTCATCCCTGGAAAGATCCGAATATTTGACGTTTACTACGACAAAAGAAGTGTTGGAACATCGCCATCATCCTTGTCACAGCAAGTACGATGGAACGCTACAGGTAGGCGCGAAATAAATGTATAATCACAATCCGGAAGCCAGAGAAAATATGAAAAGCAGTCGGCCCAGTCTGTAATTAAGCAGCCGAAGAGACTGTTCTCGTACATAAATTGGAGAAAAATAACACAGCAATGGATCCTCAACCTAATGACGGGAGTGGATCTCAAATAATAGGGGATGATCTGAACAACGCAGAGCCTATGGCAAACAATTTGGGTACAGTTTTTATTCGAGATCCTCTTCCAGAAGACGTAATAGACCAAAATGCAAAGTCACAAAATCGGCTGACTGTGGACCTCGTTCGAGACGATATACTAAAGGCCTTTAGCACTTCAGACATGGAAAAACCAACAGGGCTGAATGAACTACACCCCAAAATCTTGAGACAGCACGATACATTTCTGGCCTTTTGAGTACGATGTTCAAAATGTTACTAGGCCAAGGTGAGTTACCTACGGACTGGAATGATAAAATTGTCACTCTAATACACAAAACAGGATCAAGATAACTCCAGTCAAACTACAGACCTTTTAGCTCCACCAGTGACGTAATAAAAATACTGGAAAGAATAATCAAAAGATGATAATGACATCCGTGGGAGCCAACAAATTGTTGGACAGCGAACAACATGATTTCAGGGAAGGATTATCTCGCACAACAAATCTCCTTATAGCAAAAAAACAATGGATAGAAGCTCTAGATAATGGAAAGTCGGTGGATGTTGTCTACATAGACTTTAGCGAAGCATTTGATAAGATACTAAATATAGACTTCTCTCGAAGCTGGAAAATCTAGGATTTTCTGGACCTCTCTCAAAATAGATCAGGAATTTCTTGGTAAGTCGTAGATAGAAAGTAAGAATAAATCTCATGTGTTCCACTCGGAATCCAGTATTTAGTAAAGTACCGCAAGACTGTCCTAGGTCCTCTGTTTTTTTATACTGTATGTAAATGGACTCCCAAGTACAGTTGAGTCCCTAATGATGCTATGTGCTGATGTGAAAAGTTGGCGAGAAGTAACAGGACAAAGATACGTGTGCACTTCAGGAGGGCTTAGATGTTTTGGTTAACCGGTCTAAAAAATGGATAATACCTCTCAACGCAGCCAAGTGCGTCTACATGAACATTGGGGACACATAAGAAAATAAGTACAGAACTTAGGAAAAGCTTGTTCCTGTAGTCCAGTCTCAAGAAGATCTTGTGGCGAGAATGAGGCATGATCTTAGACCACGGTCCACTACTACGAGACCTAAGCTAAGAAGTCTAGAACACTATGGGTTTTATTAAGGACATTCATCAAGTTGGATACTAATATGTTCACTGTAGCATGCACAGCTTTAGTGAGATCAAAACCTGACAACTATGTTTATGCGGCAAGCCCTTGTTTAGAAGGTAACTCGGATATCGTGAATAGGTACATAGGTCAGTCGTCCGCGCGACTCCACAACTTCGTGGTTCACTGTGCAAAGAGTGGCTTGCGTGTTATGCCCCGATAAGGATAATGTATGGTAACTTTGGGATCTATTTATGAACCAATACTGTGCATATATTTTTTATCATGCAATCGCCAAATAACTAAACCATTCATGGTCGTGTCCTCCTTATTATAAGCTTTATTTTGAACTATAAACTATTGTTAGATGATTAACCATTCCTGAATTATGCCCTGTCTATTATTCACTATCTCCCCTATTCACAGCCACATTTGGCTAAATCTTGTACATATGTTATTTTCTATTTTATGGTACAATATGGTCATTTTGATTGGTATATAAACTCAGTATGTTTGAAATATAGTTATTTATACAGCAGAGGCTGATCTGGACTTAACTGGCTGGGCTAGGCAGAAGCAGGACCGACAAGTACTTTAGACTACTCGTACGGCTTCCGTGTGTCATTTGGTCCGGTCGATAAATTGCTTCTTTCTGATTGGCTGTCTTATCACAATGAACATTGTCAGGGCATCCACTAGGCCACAATATATAACATTGAGAAGCTAGACTCATCTAATATGTTCTACAGTAGATCAAAAGGTAATCTGATTCTAATGTATAGAATGCTGATAAATGACCTTTAACCTTATATATCCTCTCTTCTCTTCCTATCAGATCTGGACAACTCGGAGGACATAGCAGGCGAGTAGAAAATTAAAAAACCGACAAGATAACCATGTCATACATGTTTTCACAACCGATTCATTATTACTTGGAACATTTCGAATTTTCCAGATGGTGTTTAAGCCAGTATGCATCAGAAGAATTTTTAAAACTTCAAATATTTGCTCAGGCAATTTGAAATAATCCTTTACTTTGACTTGGATTATGGATCAGTCAGTAACAACGTAGAACTTCGTACGTACCTACATCAGTTCAAGTTGCCATACCACATAAGCACAGAGATGCAGTTGTCGACTCAAATCACATACTGGTAGAGGTAGCAAGAGTATAAGCAGTAATCCGAAAGATTACAATTCGAAGATGTTATTCAAGGAGTATAATCCAGTGGAATAAATTTGGAAAGAGAAACGTGAAGAATCCAGAAGATTGGAATTTTGGAGAACACAAAGAGTGGATGCACCTGCGTTATTGCAAACGATTTTGAGCCATGTCATTCAAGGTCTCTAACCACTGGTTGCTATTGTCTCGGGGATCCCAACCAGGTAGTCTACACCTACCAACATGACTCAGTCCACGTGCTAGTGACTTTATGGATTTGTGCCATGTTTTTGTCTAGCCGCCGCTAGCTCTCTTCGAACCCACTCCTACACCACAAAACGTCGCACCTGCTTTATGTATCCAAAAATAGACATTATTCCACTAATCACTACCTTGGTACTAATGGGGAATTTTGGGCTGGTTTCTGTCAAATTCGTAGTTAAGTATAAAATTCTCAGCATTGGTTTCAATGATTTTGACAAGGTTTTACTAAAATAGTTTTGTCAAAGTGAAAATTTCTTACCTCTCATTTTGGCAATGTGAAGCGATCCACGTCTAGCCGGAAGGTACTTTGTATACTAAAGGAGCATGTAGAGTTTGTGTGGGCTAAAAAAGAGAAAAAAAGGCGAGTCGACCACCCAGAAAGCGCAACAGTGCACTTACATTCACAACAAAGAAAAGCAAGCAAGATTAGGATAATCTTGGAATAAAAACTAGAAGTGCATTGTAATGAGAAACTCGATCAGTTGGCCGGCATTGTCGTTGAAGAAAATCAACCGATGAGATGCTTGGATATTCTCAGCTTAATTAGGTTTTAACTGACTGCAAATGCCTAATTAAATGTATAAATTCACCCAATCAATAATTTGAAATTTAAAGATCGTCCCCATCTTACCTTGTTGCTAACGTTACAAAATCCTTTTCAAAATTAGACGCCATCGTAACCATAATCACGAAACATTAAAGACACTTTCAATGCCTAATATCCTTGTAGTAAGCTATCGTAGACTAGTATCTAGTTTTTCCTTGAGTTTATTTTGTAAATCATTTTTACCTATGCATCCTCTCTTTTCTGTTTCATAGCGGTTCCATATCTGCTGGAAAACTTACTGAACTTTAGTACAGTCATTCGACTGCACTAGTCCTAGTCAGTTTTGTAGTAATTCCAAAATGTGCTGGTCCATGAGGGGCCAATAAGCATAGCTTCTGGCGATGGATTTCATACGCTTTATACCTGGATGGCCGATGTGGAATTGCTTCAGCACCCTCGACCGTGGGGATTATGGCACCACCACTTTATCTCCAAATATCAAGCACTCATTTACGACACATAATGAGTCTCGGCGATGGTAGAGCTGCTTCATGTAACCGTCAAGTTCAGTTGGTGGCCGGCCATTGGTAACGTAGTTCATCGTTTTTCTAATGATGGGGTCGTTTCTGGAAGCAGTTTGTATCTCAGATTCTGAGACTGGCAAAGCACAAACAGCAGTTGTCAGGTAGCAATGCGCGTGGTCTTCTGTAGAAAGAGAAGCAATAACCGCATCTTCATCCGTAGTAGGGTGTTCGCTGATGAGTCTTGACAATGCACCTGCCTGACCAAACTGTTGGGTGCGTCGATACTGAATGTCGAAATCATAACCCAAGAGGATCAAGGCACATCGTTGGAGACGGTTCGCAGAGTGGGTCGGAACGTCAGACTTTGAACCAAGTATTGCAAGGAGAGGCTTGTGATCAGTCAGGAGAGTAAATCTCCGGCCATAAAGGAATTTGTGAAAATGATGCACTGCAAAGACTAAGGTGAGAACCTCCTTTTCTATTTGACTGTATCTTCTCTCTGCTGGAGTAATGTTCGCGACGCAAATAATAAACTTACCAACTACTGGGTGGTCATAAACATATTCAATAAAACCGTGCTAACAAAGTGAAAGTCATTTTCTATACTTTGATATGTAAAATACGAAAAGCACAGTGTATATCATTTTTAATAGATAGCAGATAAGTGAGTTGTCATTTTTTCGGAATCCGTTGTCGCGGACACGTTGCAGTATGGCTGTTGTTCGTTCTCTTAACTGTTCTGATGTTGTGGCGACAATAAGGATGTCATCAAGATAAGTTGCGACCTCGGAATACCCAATAGAAAGGTATCCATTAGTTGCTGGAAAATAATAATAATAATATATTTCTGCAATAACAGGTGCACGCCATTTTTACAGGCATGATCTACAATTTACAACTGGTTCACAGTATGCATCACAAGCAAGGTTGTTTAGTAATTATAATCTATAAAAGTTGATAGCAGTTCATTCGTTCAGACATAATGTGTTTTCATAAGAATAGTTTCCAAAGGGGCATAGCGTCCACGTTACATACCAGATCCAATCTCGGCAAAAAGTGTATTAGGGTTTCGGTCGTGCTAAGTATTTATGTAATGCAGCTTTTTAAGTTTGTAGTTGTTATAAAGTAGGCTTGTGGAGCGCCTGGTTCGAGCTATGACCTTGGGAAAGCGCGTTCGTCGAGCTTGTTCCAGATGACAGAAGTTACATAGCTTCACCCTCAGAGCAAGATTCTGAAGAGAATAAAAGGAGAAACCGAGGAGCAGCAAGGCATTTGGATATGAACGATAACCAATGCTTAACATTTATTAGTGGAACAGATGGAGGTATGATAAATTATTAGATTAAATTGATACTAGCTCATGTTGCAAGAGTGAACTGCGATTAGGTGCTCCAGAAGAGAGAATGCAGTAATAAGGAACAATGAGTTGTGATATTTATCAAGGTGGAGTAGGTTCCAATGAAGGAGGGAAGTCAAGATTCGAATGAGGAAGAACAGGAAGTGCATATAGAGAGTAGTGTTAAGTAAAATAGCAACCATATCCTTTACAGTCTGTTTTCTTTCATCATCCGATGCCTGCCACACAGTTTTCATGTAAAAGTCCGAGTTAGTATGTTAAAGGTTGTCTTAGTAGAATAGTTAATCCAGCAGTGGGGGGGGGTCTTAACTCCAAACGATAGTCGATTATACTAGAACAGGCTACGACGTGTATTAATGGTGAGCAGCTCTCTCGATTCTTCAGCCACTTCAACTTGCAAATAGGCATCAGCAAGATCCAGCTTCGCAAATAACTTTTCACCATTCAGCATAGTGAACAAATCTGCCGGGAATGGCAGCAGTTAGTGATGCTGTTCTAGGGCTGCGTTGAGATCTGTGGAAAAATCTGCACATATTCGGATCGTGTCATTAGCTTTCTTGATAACAACAATAGGTGCTGCCCACGCGGAATAAGAAACAGGAATAATAACTCCTTGACGTTGAAGGTGATTAAGTTCATCATCAACTTTCGATAATGGCACTGGTCTCTTTGGACGAAAAACAGGTTCAACTTCAGGTTTCAATCAAAGTGTTACTTTCATGGATGAGCATCTACCCAAATTAGGCTGGAAAACGGTTAAAAACTCCGTCATTAGTTCCTCTGAATATGCTTCCGGGTCATGGGGTTGCTTTACTAGATGATACACAGTGCTTAACGGGACGTTAGCTAAGTGCAGCTGATCAAACCAATCTAAGCCAAGTAAATTAAGATCAACTGGTTCTATGTAACATACTCGAGTGAACGTCGAATCGCGAAAAGACACTTTACAACGTAGCTGACCCAACAAGCGTAAGTAATTACCGCATGCCGTACGAGGTTTTTGTGTTTTCCTCACCATATGTGGTCTGCCCATTTTAATCCAAGATTTTTGTGAGAGAATCGTCACGTCTGATGCCGTGTCTATTTGCAATCCAAATGGATGCCCATTAATATTAATGCTAATAAATTTCCTCTCACCTGGGGTTGAGTTCTAACAGGTTGCTACAAGATTCAACGAATTTCTGCACGGCCTGGGAACAGACATTCTAGTACTTCTGAGGCGGTCCGACTTCTTTTTTTGGCAAAATCCATCTTTGTGGCCCACAGCTTTACACTTCCTTCAACGATGTTGTTTATACGGGCAGCTTCGAACATAATGCCATGCACCACAGTGCCAGCATGGAGCAGGAGGATTCATCTTTGCTTGTTGGACTTAGTTAGAGTGAGATGAACTAGGTATAGCTAGGACGGATTTAGCAGGTTTCGTTAGTTGTTGGACTACACATACTTCAGGGCGATCAGACACATCACGTTGAACCATAGTAGTGTCATGCTGCAGATTAATTAGACGTTGATAGTCGTTAGCAGTGTCATTAAGAGTCAGCTTATGATTTTGATCCAATCGACTGAGCAACCGTGTTCTAATGTCACTGAACGTTTGCGATTGGAGGCTGCAGATGAGGATGAGAGCTTTGAACTGATCTTCAGTTAGCGAATTCAACCGAAAGCGTTCGCTTTCGCGGCTGACAATGCCCACATGCGTCAGAAAATAGGTGTCTTCGTTCATAGTCAGCTTCAAACATCGGTAGCGTGTGTTGAACAGCGAGGAGTTATCTCCGAACTGTTGGCTGAATGACTGGACGGTGTCCGAGAATGAGCGATCGCGTGAGTTTAGAGGCAGAATCAGGTTACAATATCTGTCACATTCACTAGGACCCATCTTTCGAAGCAGCAAACGGACTTTCCAAGCATCATCATCATTGGCGCAATCAAATCTAAATAAATCATCATGACTCCGAAACCACATATCAAACGTTACACTAGATCCAGGATCGTAATGAAACTCAGAAATGCTGCTCGCAATACCATCAACTGAAGGTGCAATAGTGGTAGGATTAAAAGTGCTTGGTTAGGTATTGGTCGTAATTTTTGTTTCTGTTATCATCTAAATAAGTTTCATCTGCTGCTGGAGCAATAATTCCACTTTTAAAGCATACATATGCGCACCAGCCTCGTCGCCAATTCTTGTATCTGAAGCGTTTCGAATTCACTGGTTAGCGAACGGAACAAATACTTGTGACCAGAAACCGATAAGCTAGCTATTCCGACGCAACCCAGCTAACTAGAGTAAGAAATCCGAGTTGGAATCGGGGAAAATATATTCCGCAGCAGCCAGAAGCACAGCAATCATAAGGGGAGAAAATCAAACGTATATATACAGCAATAAATTTTGGGCATCATTACAAAATAGCACACTCAAAGAAACAATGGACCAATAGCGTTTAAGATAGTTTACAAGTGGGACATATGACGTGAAGGTGAGCACTTATGTCGCGGAAACAGCTGAATTCAAGTTTTCAAAATAAAATAACAAAATTAAACCATTTATTAGGTAATTTCTGGGAATTTGACATCCCCGACACTAACAGAACATATTTATAAGTTTCTTTTTTGTAAACAGTTCTCATTTTCTAACCCTCTTTTAACTGCACAAAGAAACTGCAGGCGCCAGATAAACGGATTCAAAATCTTCAGTTAGTAACATTAAACCTGAAAAAAATTCAATTACAACGTTCATAATACTATTAGCAATTCACTGTTTACATACAACAATTACATCACTGATAAGCACTGCTTATATATTACTCGCCAATATGCACTAGAAATTTGTTTAGAATT